TTACTCTTGACTTCCAACCGAAGGGACACCGAAACCAACGTTAACCGCGCCAGGAACCGCGCCCGCCGGGGAGCCCGGAACCGGGCTGGTGGTGGAAGGATTCAACGACCGAGATCATGCGCATGTTTTTCACACAGGGGTTGATGTTCAAGAGTCTTTAAGTTTGAAAAGGCATTGGAATGCTAAAGCTAACGAGGAGTTGTGGCATTCCAGAGTCCAGAGGGGAGCTTTTGTAATTTAGTGTTAGACTAGTTTGCTTGGGGGCAAATGGCTTTGGCCGAAAGCAACCTGCCCCGCCGAACCAGCTGGGCAGGAATTGCAAGTGAAACGGTTGTTGGCCAGGCCATGAAGGGACCGGTTTGCCAAATGCCTGGCTCCCAAAGTTCCGGCGCACATAGGCATACATAGGCATCCATAGGCCGAAAACAGGCTCAGCAAGAAAGAGAACCAGATTCAGAAGATCAGAGTGTGAAGTTCTTGAACCTGGTGGCGCTCCAAGAGGATGATGGAGGATGCTCTCCCCAGTCGAGATCCTGGCGTGCAACAGCGGTGTCCAAAGCTCAAAGTCCGAAAGAAAGAGCCAGAAAATGCAAGACAGGTTTCGAAGGCGAACTTGCGCAACAACAGCTGCACAAGAAGAAGGCCTCCAAAGAAGCTTCCAGCGATGTGGCTTCAACCTGACTGACAAAAGCTGACATGGCCCTGTTTGGGGGCTGGTGTCTATTCATATAGTCCCCTGGTTTGGGGGCTGCTTTCTTTGGTCTCCAGTGGATCCGGGTCCTTTGTGTGCATGTTGCATGCGGTTCTGGAGGGTCAACTAGATCTAGGTCTAGGTGTTTGCAGCACTGTTCTTGGCATTTGGCATGGTGCAACTCGACTTTAGTTCCTTCAACTACAGTACCAAGACACATCAAGACTAAGGACGCGAGGTTTTCACGTGAGGTTCATTATGCTGGGAGTGTGTTGTAGTAACAAATTGAGTTTCATGTGACATGAACTCACAAACCTTCACCTCCTCAGGGAGTGACCACAACCATTCCTTATTCATCATTCATCAGAGATATATGTTTGTTGATAATTACTTGATTTCTTCCCTGTTAGACATCACCTTAGAAGACTCATTCCACCCTGGACACCGATACAAGCGGGACAACTCCCCAAAGAAGGAGCTCCCTGGGCTTCCTGTCCAATGGTGCCTCTGAAGAGGCAGAGCGAATCCTTTGCCACGCAACGCATGGCCCGGATGCCCGGATGCCCCCCACCGCCAACGTCGGGAGAACGGGGCGCTCCTACGACTGGTTGGAGGCCATCGCTACTGGGTTGGAGGCCCAAAAAATACTAGGAGCTGAAGATAAGGTTGAATGACCATGTAGGAGGTTGGGACCCCCCCAAAAGAGAAGGCTTACGTATTTGGATGCCAAACACCTGATCCCAATGTTTGGGGGCCTAAATACTGCGGCTCCCACGGTTCCTGCCCCGATTGCTCGATCTGTTGTTTGAAAGGTATCCTGGAACCGGTCCATCTCCACCAGCTCAGGCACCCGATTCCTTCCCTCCACAGCGTTTGGCCAGAGCCTCAGACAACGGTGCGGACGGCCTGCTAGGAGATGGACTAAGAAACGACCAGCTGTCACATGTCATTGTGCTATCCATGGAGGAAGTCGGGGTGCCCGGGGTGCCCAGGGTGCCCCTGTCACGGCTGGATGGGACAAGCACTCCGAGCGACACGTAACATGGTGGACATTCTCTTTCTCGACCTTGAGAAAGAGAACATAAGAGAACCATCCACCAAGAATTCTGTGGAAGTAGATCATGAGAGGTTTCGTCGTTTCGTGAAAGAGGACAATTGGAGAATTCTACAACCCTCTCAGACCACGGAAATCAGACGCACCCCCATTGGCCAATCCCGCGCCAGGCTCCAAACTCCAACCAGCCGGCAGAGGTGTGGAGATCGCGTGCTCCGCTGGGACTCGACGAGCCGGTTCGGAATTGGGATGGTCGCTTCTTGCTCCGTTCGTAGCGGTGCCCTTTGATACCAGTAGTGTTACTAGTAGCTGGCATTGTGGTCGTTCAGATGTTTCAGAACCCGCACTGCAGGAGTTCAGTGGATCACCTGCGTACGGTCATTTTGTTGGGGGGGTGGAATTGGAAGAATACCTAAACAGGTTTTCCAGGGAAACCGAGGGAGTCAGTGAATTGACTATAGAAGTGATGTGGTCAGTTCATTCGTGTTAGCTTTTGTTGAAAGACTATGGTGTTCCACGGGGTTTGAGGAAGCGGTGCTGGCATTTTTGCGCAATCTGAAAGTGAAGTGAAATTGCCATGGAATCCATGGAAGCGAGGATGGTCTTCCTGGGACTCCCAGACCAAGGTCGTGGTAGTATCAGAACCCCTCCGCCAACCAGACTCAGGTCGGGGTGGAGAATGAGGGGGCCACACCGGAGTCCCGGTGTAGTACAGTCGTGTAATACAGTAGTATCGGCAAAGGATGATCACCATTCCCGGAGTCCACGGCCTGCAACCCAACGATCATCGGGTCCTGTTCATGGGATATACCTATGATATACCCAAGGAATGAGGAAGAATGAGCCACCAGACCAGTATAGATTCCTGGAAGCCATCCAAATACACTTGTCGCCGCACTTGCCGTCCACAACGCCAATGCGGAATCCATCAGACAGCGCCTCCCCACACTCCAATGACCCCATGGGACTCCCCAGGGACCGAGAAATTCGGCCACGGGTAACCGTCGTTCCGCCCAGGTGAAGGGTGTCTCCTGTGGCTGGTGCAAGGAGCGTTCGCCGAAGGCGGGAGAGTTCGGCGCGCAAGGCAGCCAGGCATATAGAGCTTTAAGCCTTTATATAGAGGCATAGCATAAGGCAGACCAATCAGCTGGCCGACTGATTCCCAGATTCCAACCGTATATTTCTCATTTGTTGGATCTACCAAGCCGTTGGCCAATGGCCTTGCATTTTCACAGTGAGACCCCCGCGCCTGTGCATAAAGAAGTTGTCATAGTCTTCATATTTTTTACCTTCAGGGGTCTCCTCTGATTCCTCGAAAGCTGCATGACCTCGTGTTTCTGGCACGTCTTCGTCGTATCGGTCCGGTCCATCAGACACGAGGTTTCTTCGAGGTGTCTTTTCCCTCATGTTTTTGGTTCCCCCCAGTCTATTGCAGTATATTTGATCAATTGTGAGTGGTCTTATTGGATGAGCCAAACCTCCGCGGATCACCGGTTCTTTCAGTCCGCTGCTTCGGTCCGGAGCGAACGGAGCGAGACGGCGGCCGGGGCGGTCCGAAGACGCGCCAGGCCCAGCTCCCCATCCCCAGCAGCCCCACCGAGGCCGTGGGAGGCGCCGGTGTCACGCGCGAGGTCGACCTCGCTCGCTCGTAGTAGAGAGAGAGAGAGAGAGCGAGTATACGTGGGGAAGCATGGTGAAGCGGGAAGGAAACCATCACTATCATCACTCTCAGTGAGGGATGTTGGGATGAGCAGGGTGAGTTGGTCCGATGCTTTTCTCCAGTTTGTTCAAGTCCACTTCGCCAACTGGTGCAACTGAACTTTTGGAGTCTTGGACCGGCTTCAACGCCTTCGCCCGCGGGGTTTTGGGGATGGACCGGATCGTCGCTTTTGGTCGCCGGGGCGAAAGGTTTGGTGCTGTGTTGGTTTCAGGTGTCCCGGTGAGGGGACTTCAGATGTCCAGCCAGTCGATCTTGGGATGATTGATGATAGAAAACATGCCAGTCAACCCACCAACCAGTCCATCGGATGCCTCCCTTCACCTGTCGGATGCCCCAGCCAGGTCGATCGCCCTTAAGCGAAGACGCTTCCGGCGCGGCCGGCCGTGGACAGCCACGAACTGAGGGGTGGGGTTCCGGTGGTTTCGGAAAGGGAAAACGAGCAGGAAACACAAACCATCCGTTGATACCGAGGTAAACTGCGTGATTTTATTGTTGGGACCAGCCATCATCAAGGGATATAGTATATCCAACCTTTGTCCGAAGCAAAGGTGAAAAGGGGTTGTCTTTCGTGTGGGCTCCCATGATCAGGAGGTCCTATATGAAGCTTTCCGAGGAACACGGAGACCATTGAGATGCTTTTAGGGTGGGCTCATATGTCCCGCGCAGCAGGATGCCTTGTTGAAACCGACATCCTGTTGGTTGATCAAATGAATGGAAATGGTGGATAGAAAATTATGGACATGATTCCATGATCATGATCTTATTTAGTTGGCAGCTTCATAGGGTGTTGTTTCATCTCATGATCCATGGAACTTGCTATTGACACCAAGGACATGAGTTGATCCACCAAAGGAACTTGACGACGGTTCGAGGAACTAGACTTTTGAAACCATGCTAGTATATATAGCATTTGAAAAAATCACATCCGGGGATCCGTGACCATTCTATTGTAGGGTACATGCTCTTGACCTCGCACTCCCAATTCTACGAAGGCTCTCCAGTGCGCAACCCTTTTGCAGGTTCTTCCCCCTGTTTCTATTGGCGTTTTGTTCCACACCCATGTCTTATTCCGCCGCTCCGTCGCTCGAATTGCAGCTGCTTTGGCCAGAGAAGCATGGACCATTGATTGGTGCAGATGGGCCTTGGCAAGATGGAAACCCCACTCCGCCCCTCCTCCCACAAAGAGGATCAACAAGCATATTAGTTGTTTTTCTCATGAGATGATGCATGAGCCAAGGGCCTGGATCTTTGGCCGCTCAGAAATCGGCTGAGACTCTAGATGTTCTTGTGTGTGGCGGATCCTGCGCCACGCAGGGCTGTAAAGCTCCGAGACTTGCAGCCCCAACATGACCATTCAGACCTTCAAATTCCCAGCCCTTTCCACTTCCCAGCCCTCGAACGAGACCTGGCAGGTCTCGACCTGATGTCACCCATCCAAACGTGGACTGCTTGAGCCGACTGGATCGCCGGAGTGAAACGACCGCCCTCGTGCACAGACTCCGCAGACTCCAGTGAAGCACCGCGGGGGCATCGCCATGGCTTGGGTGTTGATCACTGGCGGTGGCACGGGCATCGGTCGAGGCGCGGCGACTTCGGCGGAGGCGGAAACGTCACGTCACGTTGCATCGGCGGATGGACATCAGCCAGGTTCAGAAGCAGGTGTGCTTCGGTCTACGCATTGGTGGGCCAAGAGGCAGCCCAAAAGGATCCAAGAAGATCCAAGAGGTCCTTGAGATGGCCAAGTAAACCACCAAAACTTGGGGATTGTGCATGGTGCCATTTACTCTCAATCTACTGTATGGTGACATCGACATCGATAGCGGAACTCAACCGACCGTCGCTCTGGGCGGTCACTTCCTTTTCACGATGTCGATGTTAAACTTCCATGATCGAAGCAAATCAGCCTCTTCTGAGATCTTTGTGTATGCAAGGAGATTTGGTGCTGCTTGAATGCTGGATTTGCATGTCCATCAAGACCAAACTTTATTTTTTGGGGGTATAGTATAGATTAGTGGATCCACTCCAAACTGATATTGGGTTGTTCTGTGCAGGAATCCATGCTTTATTGGGAGGATTCATTTACTGTAGTAAATGCGTTTGTTTTTCTAAGGAGGGAGTGGCATGTGTTTTTTGTTGGGGGCAGAACGAGCAGATCATCAAGACAAGACAATACATTCGTTCGAACTTCAATCCACTCAGAACCTCCAACGTACCGAAATATATGGAGGGAGTGCCTCTTGGGGTGGATGACTGAAGCGTCTCAACTTCACCAATCTTAATAAACACGTCTTTGCTTTTTGCACGGACGCGGCGGAGCTATCTCCACGGAGTTCGGGTGGTGTTTACGATCTATATATAGACCACCTCCAAGACTGACGATGGTTCCAACCGAAGGCTTCGCCAGCCGATAGTTGAGACCGACCGAAGGCTTGGTCCACCACTTCTCCAGCATCTCCGACCTCTCAGTGCTCACCTGCGGCCGCCGCGCCGCGCCGCTGGCGGAGACCCGCCGGACGGCGCCGCGGCCCGAGGCCGGGCACGTGGCACGTCGGCTTCAGGGAGATTGGGAAATGATATATACCTTAGGTGGTTGATATACCCTTAGGTCCATAGGTAGTACCTCAGGTGACATACCCTACGGGTGTTTATGATGGTTGATATACCTTGATGGCACGTGTCCCACCGGTCTTCGCGGTCCTTCATCCGCAGTGAGCGCACAGTGAGACCGTCCTACGTGTTGTGGTCCTACGTGTTGGCGCGCAGTGCGGATCCTGTTTGTTACTGCCATAGGACTGCCGAGAAAAGGCCAGGGGTGGTGCCAGGGGGGTCTGGCTTGATCGGCATATTTATGGCAGTCGCATGGCATGGGTTTGGTTTCTGTTTGAGAGACCCCCTCATTTGGCGCATGTGTAGATTTGGAATGATTAGCCAGGCTTCGGTAGTGCATACGGCCACCAGTGGGGCCAAGTAAGTGTGAAATCGTGTGGATTGTCCCAAGGTCCGACTTCTCACTGTTGTTTTGGCAGATTTACAGTATTGGGCTTGCCCCATTCTCATCACCTCAATCAACTGAGAATTGTTGCTCCCCCAAAAATAATCATTACCCGCCAGAACTTCCGTGGTGATGAGGATTCTGTTCAAGGGGATTTCTGCCATCACACATTAGGCTTCCCCCAAAAACACTTACACATAGAAATCAATTCTGGCCAAGAAGAAGCATCACTTTGATCCCATAATCCCCTCTTTCGTGCGGTCCATTTGCACAGCCGACTTGGGCCCTGGGCGGATCTATTTCATCGGTCGAACGAGAGGTCCAGAATCCGGTCAGGCCATCACCATCGTGGCCTGCGACCTTGGCACTGCCGAGGGGCGACACAGGCGACTGAAAACCACACTGTTTGGCATTGGGAAAATGGTCCATCCAATCCAAGAGGCCATGCAATCCACGTAGTTAACCATGACTCTTTCAGGGAGTAGAGATCGTGGCTTCAGGGTGGCCTGGAGGGTCCAAATAGTCGTCGTCTAGAGCAACCCCGTGTGTGATTCGGAAGGATTGAATCCCGTGCAGCCCTTGGGCTGAAGACTTTTTGGATCCAGTGGGTTTGTAAACCTGAGGAGGTCGTTTCTTACCTGCGGTGGATGGGAGGGCTGGGGGACCCCCGCATGAGCACACGCCGGTTTCACCGGCTCAGCTTTCCAGGTCTTCCAACTTGACGTTCGGCCCAGGAAGCGCTTCGGAGCGACCACTTGTCGATTCGTTCCCCAGGCTCGTACTTAGCTAGGACCCTGGTCCCACTCTGGTCCCTCAGTGTTCCAATGGTGTCGGCAGACGGAATTGACCAACGCCGGCACGACACGCCTATGGATTCATCCGCGGTCGTGTCGGTCAGAAACATCCTACGACACGAGCCCTGAGACGACGGTTTTTTCAAGCGTGGAACATGAGGAAAGAAGACGACAGGTGCACCACTTGGGGTACTAGGTGCGCTCCAGAGGCCAAACCGGTTCGCCTTCCATCCGACCAGTTCGAAAGATGGGAAGAGACCCTGGTCCAAAATCGCTGTTAAAACATAAAACCATGATTGCGCACAAATCATAAAGACCTTTTTTCGGGCACACCCCACTGGCTCGTAGGGGTCCTTAAATCATAATAAGACCATGATGAAAACGACCAATCGTTGGACTCCTAGGGTTCGAACACCCAAATCCCCCGACCCCACCGCACTCGGGAGGTTTCTGGAGCCCTTGCCACCAGAGGCGTGCTGCTTGATGAGTCCCGATCGAGCGAGCCGCCGGTGCGCGGGTGCGAGCGCGGAAGGGAACTCCCCGAAACCAACGCTGCAGACGAAGGACATGTGTGATGAGGTAAGTCGTGTGATGAGCTGAAAAACGCTTCGGATCCAGGTATTCAAGCTGTTTGTCAATCAAACTGCTTTACTTACTGTGGTGTCCAAAGTTGTGTGTGTTTGTGAGAAGGCTACAAGACCAAGTTGTTTTTAACCACAAGACCAGTGTTGTTGTTGTTGTTGTTGTTGCTGTTGCTGTTGCTGTTGCATGCTGTTGCTGCTGCTGTTGTTGTTGCTGTTGTTGCTGTTGTTGCTGCTGTTGCTGTTGTTGCTGCTGTTGCTGTTGCTGTTGCTGTTGCTGTTGCTGTTGCTGTTGCTGTTGCTGTTGCTGCTGCTGCTGCTGCTGCTGCTGCTGCTGGTGTTGGTGTTGTTGTTGTTGTTGTTGTTTTGCAGAATTTTGATGAAACTTGCAGCATTGCAGGATCTTGATGGATCTTGCAGGAAAATAGGGGTTCTTCCTCTTCAAATTCGGTTTGTTTCCTTTCAGGCCTCGGTCCGTTTGTTGGTGCAGAATGCGGCCATTGGTGACCCGGCAGCCGTGGCAGAACTGGACCTGAAGCATTTCGAGGAGCTGTGTCGGGCAGGCGCCCTTTGCTCAGTCGAGTAGGAGTAGGACTGAGTATGACAACTCACAAGGGGTGGGTAATTAATGTAATTTATTGATCCCTACAGCCTACTAGACTGGTATTATGTACCTAGAAGCCATCGAGGAAAAGACGCAGAAGAACACCGCCCATCGACCGTTCTGGTGGATTGAAAGGATTGAACCTGGGTGTTCGAGAACTTGGAACTGCTACTGGTACTTCTGCCACCTTTTGCCCCTTTTGCTTTTGGGCTGGAACTCAGGCCCTAAGCCGCTCCCGGAACGATCTAGCCTAGTCTACCCTGTTTGGGTGTCCAGTCTGATCCCGGACCGGGTCCCAGGATGGTCCTGGCACACATTCATACACATATCCTGTCCCATTTGGGGGGGGCGGGCGGAATCGACTCCATTCGTTTGGTCCCTTTGAACTCCTCGGGCTCGAACACAAGGTTTCCTCAAAGGAACGGGAAGGGGACAAACTCTACAAATCATTCATGCCACTAGGCATGTAATCAGTTCCAAGGTCTTCATGGACTAACCCCCTCGGCTAATTCTTCTGGCCTGTGTTTTGAGGCTTGAGAATTTTGCATGAAAACTGTGTATTCCATGTTATTCCCCGTGTTGACAAGCACCCAAGATCAAGGAAGGGTCTCCGAAAGGGAAGTTCCGACCATTTGGAGGTTTTCTTTTTTGTTCGAACTGGATCCGAGAAATAACATAACTTTGCTTTCAGAATAAATGGTACAAACCCTAAGACGTGTATTACATGGGAGTCCATATACACCACCCAACTTGGGGCAACTTGCGCCATCTACGTGGATTTGTTATACACACATTACACAAAGGTGTTGCAGTTGGGTGACAAAGCAAAGCCAGCAGTCACAGTTAGGGGGTGCTATCCGAGGAAGATCGGCGTGCCCAGAAGTCACATCGCTGAGCGACACGTGACTCCTGGAGCACGCCGTGCTCGTTGACCTGTCGTTCCTGGCTGCACACCTGAGCCAGCTTCACACCTGAGGCCTATATAGGATATATATATATATAATGATATATAGTTGTTTGGATGTTTTTCGAGTCGATTCTTTGCAAAGGGCGTCTTATGGTGTTTTAACCAGAGCTTTGAATGTCTCATCCTGGTGTCATGGTTCTGAATGGGCCACTTAAGACCTGTTTGAAAAACGTTTGTTGTTCGGGTCTTTCACTATGTTGACGTCCAAGACTGCAGCTGGTCTCGACTTGGAATGTTCCGGGGCCCAAGCTTCGGCAGCGGGGCCTGAGCTTCGGCAGCGATGGAGGGCGAAAGCACCGCCAAGTTCATCAAGCTGAGTGGAGAGGAGACCGCACAACATGGCCAAGCGCAGATGCAAAGCTAGCCCCGAAGCCCTCAAGTTGTGCTTTTGTTGCTTTGGACGCATGGGTGACCTGTAGTTTGCGGGGTGATTTTCATGTTCTAGGCTTCCAATCCACCAGTGACGGCGTGTTTGTTTTCCCGGGCCGTCTTAGATGATCAAACAACAAGCAGTCACAAAGGGCTGCTTAATGGAGATTAGGGGTGCCCAATATGCACTCACTTAGGGACTAAACGCCACTCCTTTTTGACGCATGCTAAGTAAGTACTTGTACTGTAATTTCTCAAGTGCCCAAGCACAGATCCACCCGTGGTTGGTCCACGGCGCATGGAATCGGCGCATTCTCAACCCAACAGCAATGGCCTCCAACCCAATAGCAATGAAGTCCAACCTAATAGCGATGGCCTCCAACCCAATAGCAATGGCCTCCAACCTAGAAGCGATGGCCTCCTACCCAAGAGCGATGGCCTCCAACCCAATAGCAATGGCCTCCAACCTAGAAGCGATGGCCTCCTACCCAAGAGCGATGGCCTCCTACCCAAGAGCGATGGCCTCCAACCTAGAGGCGATGGCCTCCTACCCAATAGCAATGGCCTCCGGTCCAACCCAGTAGCAATGGCCTCCAACCCAATAGCGATGGCCTCCAACCCAATAGCAATGGCCTCCAACCTAATAGCAACGGCCTCCAACCTAATAGCGGTGGCCTCCAACCTAATAGCGATGGTCTCCAACCTAATAGCAATGGCCTCCAACCTAATAGCGATGGCCTCCAACCCAATAGCCATGGACTCCAACCTGATAGCGATGGCCTCCAACCCAATAGCCATGGCCTCCAACCCAATAGCAATGGCCTCCAACCCAATAGCAATGGCCTCCAACGAATAGCGATGGCCTCCGACATAATAGCAATGGCCTCCAACCTAATAGCGATGGCCTCCAACCCAATAGGGATGGCCTCCAACCAAATAGCAATCGCCTCCAAACTAATTTAGCGATGGCCTCCAACCCAATAGCAATGGCCTCCAACCTAATTGCAGTGGCCTCCAACCAAACAGCGATGGCCTCCAACCTAATAGCGGCGGCCTCCACCCCAATAGCAGTGGTCTCCAACCTAATAGCAATGGCCTCCAACCTAATAGCGATGGCCTGCAACCTAATAGCAATGGCCTCCAACCTAATAGCGATGGCCTCCAAGCCAATAGCCATGGACTCCAACCTGATAGCGATGGCATCCAACCCAATAGCCATGGCCTCCAACCTAATAGCAATGGCCTCCAACCTAATAGCGATGGCCTCCAACCTAATAGGGATGGCCTCCAACCAAATAGCAATCGCCTCCAACCTAATTTAGCGATGGCCTCCAACCCAATAGCAATGGCCTCCAACCTAATTGCAGTGGCCTCCAACCAAACAGCGATGGCCTCCAACCTAATAGCGGTTGCCTCCACCCCAATAGCAGTGGCTTCCAACCTAATAGCAATGGCCTCCAACCTAATAGCGATGGCCTGCAACCTATTAGCAATGGCCTTCAACCCAATACCAATGGCCTCCAACCTAATAGCGATGGCCTCCAACCAAATAGCGATGGCCTCCAACCCAATAGCAATGGCATCCAACCTAGTAGTGATGGCCTCCAACCTAATATCGATGGCCTCCAACCTAATAGCAATGGCCGCCGCCAACCTAATAGCAATGGCCGCCCACAACCTAATAGAGATGGCCTCCAACCCAATAGCAATGGCCTCCAACCTAATTGCAATGGCCTCCAACCAAACAGCGATGGCCTCCAACCTAATAGCGGTGGCCTCCACCCCAATAGCTGCAGTTGTCTCCAACCAAATAGCAATGGCCTCCAACCTAATAGCAATGGCCTCCAACTTAGTAGCAATGGCCCCCATAGCAATGTCCGCCAACCTAATAGCAATGGCCCCCACCCTAATAGCAATCCTCCTAATAGCGGTGGTCTCCAACCCAACAGCAATGGACTCCAACCAGTGTTTGCTATTAGGTTAAGCTCACCGTCGCTAAACGCTACCGCCATGGGTGGTGTTTGGGGTATGTTGTTCATGTTTGTTTTTTTCGTGTGTATTCTCACTGGTCAGGAGATCCCCTGCGTTGTGCCATCCGGGAGCACTGTGCGAGAAGCAGCTCCGCTGCTGCAGAAGTTCCTTCCCAGAGGGTCGTTACGGCTGATTACGGAGACTGGGAAGGTGCTCTCCGGGAGTGATGTCATTCCCTCAGAAGGCCTCTTGCAGGTGCAAGTGATGCTCGGCTGTGAGTTGATCGGTCGCTTGGTTGTTCGGTTCCTCGCTAGAATTTCAATCCCAAAAGCATCAGATGGGGTCTGACCCCGGCCTGACTGCGGAACCGATGCTTGCTTCCATCCGTTCGCCAACCTCGCTCCCCATGCGGACCCGCGGATCATGCTTGAAGCACACTCCCGCCTGTCCATTCCATGTCTGACGGGGAAAGGAACTGGTCCAAGACATTTTGAACGAAATTCGTTGTGACCGGTGTACCCTGTTCTACCCTGTTCTGTGTACGGAACCAGTAAAGGAATTCGTGTGATCCAGTAGGCGCACACACACACACTTCGACATTGGTTTTCAGTTAGTTCAATTGCCACGATGGGAAGGATGGCGATGGAACGGTAAGGTGAATGGGTCCGATCACTTGAAATGTTGAAAAATGTTTCCCGCGCTCTGCTGACAAGTGCGGCACATCTGCGGTGGAAAGGTGGGTTTAGGGAAAGAAACATGGAAGGACCATGGAAGCTCAAAACCGAGGAAAATTGGGGTGACAGCTTGTGAAAAACTCAGCAGGTACACACCGAGACGTCTCTCGGTGCTTCCCATCTCGCTGCCTAGCTTTGTTAGACCAGGTTAGCAGCGAGATGCCTGGTCCCCCTGCAACGAATGAAAGACCCTTTGAGACAGGGCTGGACACACACAAAACGCCGCTGTCGGCGCAAGTGAAGCGCGGTGGATGGACTTTTTTCAAAAACCGTCTGCAGGCTGCAGGGTCATGCCCCTTTTGGACATAAAGGCGTATTGATGATAACTGTACATCCTTGAAAGTTCAAGATCAGCTGCATAACGAATTCGACAACATGCAAGAAATCAAACCATGAAAACCATGTCATGAACAGAATCACATGTGCAATCAGAAAGCTTCATTCTGTGGAGTTCCATCGTATTAGCCCGGCGGCTCGAAGTGCAGTGAATTCAGGATGGAAGAAAGTCGGTGATGGAAATCGATGAAAGAACGATGAGTCAGGAAATGAGTTCCAGTATGCAAACAGCGCCTCCTTGCGGAGGGTCACACCCAGCACCCACGTGGGACGGCTGAGCGGCTCACACTTCGACATTGGTTTTCAGTTAGTTCAATTGCCACGATGGGAAGGATGGCGATGGAACGGTAAGGTGAATGGGTCCGATCACTTGAAATGTTGAAAAATGTTTCCCTCGCTCTGCTGACAAGTGCGGCACATCTGCGGTGGAAAGGTGAGTTTAGGGAAAGAAACATGGAAGGACCATGGAAGCAAAACCGAGGAAAATTGGGGTGACAGCTTGTGAAAAACTCAGCAGGTACACACCGAGACGTCTCTCAGTGCTTCCCATCTCGCTGCCTAGCTTTGTTTGACCAGGTTAGCAGCGAGATGCCTGGTCCCCCTGCAACGAATGAAAGACCCTTTGAGACAGGGCTGGACACACACACACACACGAACCCTTCTCTCAGCTGACTGTGAGGATGAGCATTGCCAAAGGCCGATGGTCCTCGCTCTACAGTGCCGCCTTTGACGGCTTCGATGAGGCTGCTCTACGGGCGGCCTTGCGACAAGCCTGGCCGGGCGATTTTCAAAGAAAGGGCCCTGAAATGGGAGACCTTGAAGATAAGCATAGACTAAAATGATTTTTCATTTTCCCTATCTGGATGAGTCCCGGAATATTTCATAGTTTTGTCCAAGAGCGTCCTGAAGCAAATCCAAGGAGACCTTGAAGATCCGGAGCTCGAGCGTTGGCAACAACAGATCTTCAAAGTTCTCCAAGAAGTGGTTTGGTCACTGGGCCCGCACTGAGCACCGACCGACCAGCTGGGCCGAGCATATGCGATGAGCAGCTCAGCTGTCGACACACGTCACGTCATCAGTCACTTCAACCAGCAGCCATATCCGATGGTCAAGGCAGGGAAGCTGCACCAATGAATGTGTCCATTTTGCAGAGGAACAGGGCCGCAGTCGAATAAATGGGAGCATCAAACAGTCAATAAGCTTAGTTGCCGGTCAAATACAACAGTTGAATGCATTTGACCAGACAGCTTTGTAGGGCACAGGGCTAGAAGAACAGCCTGTAGTACTGTAGAGAAATTTCTAGGTCAACACAAGCTGACACATGTCAATGAAAAAGAACTATATAGGAACAGGTCAACTTCGGCCTAGGAAAAGTACTCATACGAAACATGTCAATGTGGTCATGCCAAGGCCGCAAGGTGCGGGGTGTCTATCAGTAGCCCCTAGAGAGGGTATAAGTTTTTTGAGTTGGGCTGTGTCCTTTCACGACCCCAACTCCCATGGGGTCCTTTCAAGACCAATTGGGGTTTGCTGGTCATTGAGATTGCAAATTCAAATGATTACAATAAAAAAACACACGTAAACACAAAGGCACGTTGAATCTTTGATGGCAGATCAACCGCCTTCACCCGTTTTTTAAACGTGTTTCCTGTGCCTTCACGAAAAGAAGAAGTCACTTCAGCCCGACTCCTCAGGAAGTTTGCGGGCAGCTGGGCGGATTATTGGACCTTCGGCCACAGCGCTTGCTCCTATGGCCACCTGACACCCGGTTTAGCCCGGAGGCGCCACCTGTTCTCCCAAAACGGCCTGGCCAGGAGGGTCCTGCTAGATATTCCAGACCTGGAGGCTTTTGAGGGTGAATTGCTTGGAATGCTGGGAGGTTGGGACATGGAGCAACTGAGGACGGCATCTTGTTTTTACACTGACTGAAAGGGGTTTATGCAAATTGATGCAAACACTTCCAGTTTTTTCCCTGGTTTTGGGAGAAGAGATTGGACACTTGTTTGATCTCTTGCGGCCTCCTTTTCATGTCAGCCAAGGCTATTGGTATGTTCGCCCGCCCTACCCGACCATGGCCCCGAGCATCGACTTGATGATCAATGAGCCCTGGGCTGGTGGGTTGGGGGTCTCAGACCAGTGGGTCAGAGTGGGTCAAGGACGGAGAGCCCGACCCAGAACCAAACAAACACGGAGAGCCCAACATGGAACAACCACGCCGGGCTCGGGATCCGTTGCCACCACGGAGCCACCGACCCGACCAAACCACGGTTCGCACCGACGAAGCAGCAGCACAAACCGAGGGTGGCCCGCACCGGATCATCCATGTTCCCTTGATCGAATGATATCGAAGGTTTTGACATGCCCTGTAGAAAGATTAGAAAGTCTGTGTTGAAGCTACAGCTAGGGAAGAAAGATGAAGACAGCATATTTACAATATTTTACAATTATGCAGGCACATGTTTTTTTTTTTGAACTAGCTTCACTTTTCGGACAGCCATGGGTGAAGCCTTTCCACACCTTCCCAACTCTCGCTTCGAAACCGCTCTAAGCCCGATGGATTTCTTCGACTCGACTCAGCTCGATCCGTTTTGCTTCACTCCTCGGGGGGTATCCAGGACGTGAAACGCTGGCGGAAGATCCTTTTGGACTTGGAGGATGACTTTGCACACCTGCGGTGGCGAACTCAGCCCCCCAAGAACCTGCCATGCCTCACACTGGCCATGCTATATGTGTTGGAAGATGGTATTTTGGGATTCGAAGAATTCGGAGGATGGGGCAACGGTGCCCCATCTATGTAATTACTCAGACATGAGGCATTGGTATAAACTCTTGTGGATGACATTGGAACGCTCGCGAGTTGTTTGTGTGGAAAGCGCCGGTCGTTGGTAGGTCTCTTTCAGATGTTGATCAGATCGGATCGACTGGACGTGATGACATGGGGAGAAAAACCTTCATCGACTGACATGGGGAACATGGTTCGATGATCTTCTAAGTTTCCCTACAAATCTATAGGAACCAAATCATTAGTGCGAGCGCTTCTTCAAGGAAGCCTCCCCAGCCGGGGAAGCCTCCTTGAAAAAGCGTGAGCTGTCCTGCGTCCAGTAGTTAGTAGCTTACTTGTAGGTAGTAGCTACCTAGCTACTACTAGCTACCTCTACCTCCTAGCGGCCTACTCCTGCTTTAACAAAAAGAAAATAACATCGTTGGGAACTCAAATCATCCACCGTCCTCGCTTCCCTCCTTTATTCTGTCGCTCCCCCACGACGGTTTTTGTTTCATTCCGAAGTCGACACGACCTCCGCACTTCTCCTCTTCGCCAAGGACTCGCTGCGGAGGCTTGGAACTTTGTGAGCACGTGGAGATGGCCATTGCCTCCTTGCTCCGCTACTGCCCCCGATTTCGCACACAGGTCGACTGGCATGTGGGCTTCGAGATGTGGTACCAGCCCTTCGCCATGCTGGTGAATTGGTGTTTTGGGCTGCACGTCTAGCCGAAGAAGCCGGTGGAGGTTAGGCGGCCCAGGTAGATTGACACCTCGGGAAACCGGACTGAAACCTAGGACTCGGAGCAAATGGGGTGAACATGACCGGTTGGAAAGTCATGAGGACATCTTTGTAAAGCATGCTTCTGAAATTTTTTGAATATGTTTTTATATGGCTGTTCTAGTGTGTTTTGTTCTGGGTAATGTGTGCAGGGTGGCCTTCAATGTGGGTGAAGCTAGAAAGGGTTTGAAAGGGTATTGTATGGTTTTGTTATGTTATTGCACGCTTGATTCATACGTTTTTGGTTTCCGAGAAAATCCCAGATGTTTTTTGGGAAACATTTGCAGCACCGGCTTTGATTCCACAGGGGGTCAGTCCCCACCTTCTGAGCGCTGGACCCCAGGACAGGCCGGACAGGACTTGTTCCCATCGCAGTTTTTTTTTCTACACGGTCTAGATCGATCCTTATCGATCCTTGGCTAGTCTTTTGTTTGTAGAGGATACTGCAAAGCCCGTTGATGATCAAGCCCATGCTGTTCAAGGGTCGTGCGGCTCGCCCCCTGTAGTAAGCAGTCATCGAGTTGAACTCTGAGAAATCTACATGACAGTTGATTAATAATAATAATAATCATCATCAAGATCAAGATCAAGATCAATGAAGATCAACATCATCACCCACCACTTGAAAGCATCAAAAGGTTTTCCACCAAGTGACCAGTTCAGCGAGATGTTCCACTTGCTTCTTTCGTTCTGTTTGCGCACACTCGTTTACGGACGATGCTTTCCCCAAGTCGTCACCTTGTATCACTGCCGTTCGCGAGTCAGCAAAGCCGTTTCGCAGGTATTTGAGCTCTGCCGGCTTCGAGGAATCGCAACAAGAAGTCTTGCAGCTCGTGGACAATGCCATTCACGGCTTTCGGAGCTACCAGTGCCCCCCCGACACGGCCCGGCAAGTGGCGAAGCAGGTCGCCTCCATGACCAAGGAGTCCTTTCAAGAGGTGAGACACGAAGAGTGAGCTACAGTGTATATAGACGACAAACTGACTCCAGATGGCCTGAAGATGAAAAAATACACCTCCCCAGTTTTCTGAATAGTGATTAGTAGGTGCTCGTTTCATAATTGAGTTACCAAGAACTTGAACTGCTAGCGGCCGTGGAGCTGCAAGCCTGTTGCCATTTCTTGCCCCTTTGGTCACCCAAAACCCGTCAGGTGGATTCCACCGCGGATTGGCTGAAGGCACGTGAGTGCCTCGAGAACTTGACCACGCCGGCGGACACCGAGCTGCCACGCTGTGAGGTGGGGAACTCGTGGCGTTCCCAACGCCACGCGGTCCATGGACCCAACTGCAGCGACCTGGGATTGGGCAGCCCGTTCGCAGCCACGCAGATGCCCAAAGTTCCTATGAAAACAGGGGTCACATGGGCTGTATAGGTATCGATATGATTGGTCTATATGTTGAAATGGAAGTTCGGGGACTCTTTGGCCCAGCGGGTTGCCCTGGTTTGATGCACAAGCTTCAATGAACTAAGGGGTCCAAAAAACACCAACAGCAGCTGTCCAGGGTCCCAATACCCAATCTATTATATAGTGTTTTTGTTCCACCTGTGCTTGAATGGAGGACCTCCATTTGTCCTTCATTGACTCGGTGGATCTGCAACGGGGTGGACCTGGCCGCGTGCAGTGCATGCGCTATGCCCTGGCACAGTGCAGGGCAGATGCCTTGGCGCAGAAAGACTTGGACTTGGGTCGCTTGGACCGACTCGTGGATCACCAGCAGAGGTGGAAGAACCTGAACTAGACTATCCCAGTTGGGTACCCCTGGTGACGGGTTCTAGTTCAGGTCACTTAATTTTGTTGGAACGAGGAGAAAGTAAGATGCCAGAGGTGTTTAAGACAATTCAAGACACGTTGTTCGATGGACGTGGCGTTTCTTTGGTTTTCTATCATGCTCAATCCGTTTGAGGGATTGCTGCCACGACAATGAACGGAAGTTGGTTCACTTCATTTATCCCAGCGTTTTCTTCTTTGGAGGCTAGGTGACCACTGAGGTCTTCTGAAGAGCTGGCAGCACTACATCCTTGGCAGGCACTTCCGAGAACACTTCCGGGAGCACGATGCCTATGCGAAGCAGGGCAGGGAGCGATATCCCATACGTGCGATGCCTGCGATGAGTTGGAGAGAGGATTTTTCCTTGAGTTTTGAAGGCTCAAAATCGATCCTCCCGTCCAAGTCATGCTCGATGTGTGCATCAGGTCATGTTCTTCACGATCAATTCTAGGTTTTCTTTTAGCTGAGGAAATCATGGGTCCATCGTAGGTGGGGGACACCAACACCCGTTTATATGTGTTAAACAATGTGATACATATAGTTATACAATGTTATACACATAATATATAGAAAGATGATGAAGCATGTCAGCATGTCAACATACACACACTATACAGAGAGAGAGGGGTGTATTACTACAAAAAAAGTATTAGTAGATCGACCCCCTCGATCATTCCCCCAAAGACATCATTGATCCATACTAAGATTGTAGGTTACTGTAGGTGTGTAGCCGGCTATCCGTGCCCGACGCGGGGCTATTTGTGCCGAGGAACTCGGAGCAGGACTTCATCTCGGTGCTGTGCCAGGCTGACACCACGGAGCCCGCGGCACTGCGAGCGGTGCGGGCCTACTTGGACGTGTGCTTCTTCCATCCCTTCGACGATGGGAACAGCCGTCACGGAGATGGAGGGTGTGTATGTTTGGGGAACTGATTGCTTGTTGAGGGCTCCAAAGGTGCTGGTGCTGGTGTGTTTCAGGGGGGTTGAGGGGTTCACACTCCCTGGAATAACCATGGGAGCGGAAAATGGGCCCCGTGGATGAGCATTTTCTGAATACCAAACAGGTGGGTTTCCCACTTCCATGATCATTCCAGGGAGTGTTTTTAATTGTTTTTATGCCGCCTCTAAATACCCTGTGGCGCTTCGAGCCTTGGCTATGGGAACTATCCTGAAAGAAAGTCACCCCTGCGGCCAGATCTGCAGATTTGTGAGGCTGAACAGAGTGAGGGATGTCGAGGAGTTGGTGGCAAGTGGAATCACTCACCAAAAGATAGGGACTATCAGGAACCGTTTTGAAAGGACTGCTGTACAGTTGTGTGTGCCTTTTTCCGGCATGCCACTGTCATTTCCGGGCATAGGGCTGACAACAATTGAAAACAGGCATTGTTTGATCAGCAAGACTGTATGTTAAAATACGACATTCACCCCGTTTTGTGGGTTGCTGTCTCTCCCTTCTTGAGCTGCATTTTTCGTAGGTCCCCCGTTGGTGCGGCGCCGACTCGCTGACGTACGGGGCGCCCCGACTCGCGGGATCTGGGTGAGAAATCCCCCAAACGCTCGAAGCCTCGGGGATCGAGGCTTGGCGCGCTTGGTCTTTGACTTTGTGTTGACCAAAGCAGGCCGGGGAAATGCGTCCAATCCTCTCAGAGGATTGACCTTGCTGCGAATAAAAGTGCGCCATGTGCTGCGGTTTGAGCAGTGCGCACGTCAGTGGGTCTGACCTGTGACCAGCACAGGCTTCCTGGTGCAGCAGCCGGATATGGTCTTCCTCTTTTCGAAGTCAGCGAAGGATGGTGAAGGTGCTGCCAGGTTGGTGGAGCTCGTGCTCCAGTGGCCTGGACCCAGGTGCGGACCTGGTGGAAGGCGGACCGGGGGGGTCCAGGTGGACCCTTTGAGGGTATTACTACCTAAATGGTGTATCTTATTTATATCTTATTTATATAGCTTCTTGTTACTAGTAGTAAGGCCCTTGGTACAAGCAGCGATGCCATGGTTACTAGATGCATCTTATTTATGGTAGGTATACACTATACGCAGATCAAAGACTTGCCTTATATATAACTGTCTACCAATGTTGTGTTGGTGAGACCTTCTTTCGTCGGTGACGTCGGCCGTTTGGTTTGCCATAGCTCCATGGTGATTGGTCGACTTGTCACGAATGTTGCTTGGACGTTTGAAAAGCCAGTTCTTACTATAGTCGCTAGAAGCTAATTAGGCATCGCTACTAAGACTAGCAACAAGAGCATCGCTACTAGTAGCTAGAAGCTATCTACTTTGCTCACTCTCACTTCCCAAAGGCTTCAGGGCTCGGAAGGGGCCCGAGCAAAGACTCGCAGAACGGACTGTAGGATGAGAACCTCGGACTTAGGTTGTAAGGATCGGTGCTTTTCGAGGAATTCGTTGTTGTGGTCGGCCCAGGAACCCTCCACTGAAGGAGTTGGTGTGTGGACCCCCAAACCGGAAAAGAAGCAAATTCGCCCGTTTTGGCCATGCCCCGCGTATGCAGATCCAAGGCTGATGGCCAAGCCCAAAGAGGACTGGAACCTTCCCTTGCAGAAGTGGGTCGAGGAGCATCCTCATCCGAAAAAAATCGTTCAAAATGAATACAGATGGTTTGGATGCACGGTCTATCCAGAAGATGTGCCGCCGTAACGCGCACCTGGCTCGAAAGCTCACGCCATCGCTCGCTGGTTCCAAAAAGGCCGCCGAGGGCTCGGTGGCGCCGCCGAGGGCTCGGTGGCGCTCGTCACGGGTGCCGCTGGCTCGGTCGGGACCGGAAGCCATGCTTTCAACATGACTCCCCTGCTGCAGAGGACCACACGGAACCCCTACCACCACGTCGGGTTGGTCTTCGGAAAAGGGTCGAAACCACAGGTCAATTCTCAGGTTCTATGTTAGGAAATGCGGGGGGAGTAGAACGGAAATGCTCAGAATGGCCAGTCTGACAGGGAATTGCGTGCGAGTGGGCGGTTGTGACTTGAAGTGGTGTACTGTACAGTACCCCGTTGAACTGCCGCATCTGGGACACGTATATAGATCAGGATATGTAATGGATATGAAGTTTAAAGAGATGTGGGAGGGGACGCTAGTGCTTGCAGCAATACTAAGTGCGAAAAAGTTCCAAAAAAGAGGGGAAAAAAGGGCTCCTCTTGCTCCCTAGGGACCCTCAAAACCTACATCAGAGTGTCTCCAATCACCTTCTGAGAAGGTACTTGGATCCCTAGGGCCTACAAGCAACCAAGCTTTTTTCGCGGACCTCCGGCTTAAAACACTCCGCCGCCTTTTTGCAGCCCGTCTCTCAGCCTCGTCTCCGGTGCTCACCGGCGCAGCCCCGCGCCTCGCACCATGGGGGTGGCGCGAGGGCTCCTGTTGATGTCCATCCCAGCAGCTTGGAGGACGACCGACGACCGTGCCGGACGGTCCGACCGGTGAAGGTCATCCGGGTCGTCGGTTTGGCCCAACTCATCACACTGGTCAGGAGGTGAAGCAGACAGAACCCGAGGGCCGCTACTCGTTGGTAGAGGAAACTTGTTCTACATATCCCTAGGGATCCAAGTACCTTCTCAAAAGGTGATTGGAGACACTCTGATGTAGGTTTTGAGGGTCCAAGTACCTTCTGAGAAGGTACTTGAGAAGGTACTTGGATCCCCAGGGTATGTTTATACTTACCAGGTTATCTCCTCCGCCTCCCCGAGGTCCTTCTGGTGTCTTTGATCTTGGCGCCTTACCCGAAGCTTTTCTTCAAACAGGAGGACCGGTCGCTGCGCGGTTTCTCGGTGAGGTGGGAAGTCCCATCAATCGGGGGAAGTACCATCAACATGGACGTTCATGGAAGAACCGCTGGCCACCTGGAAGCATCGACAGAAAAAACGGCCGTGGTTGTTTTTTTCCCCTCGACCCTCCCTGAACTGATGGTTACGTGGATGGCATGCCCTCTTGGATGACCATGAAATCCGAAGACCGATGCTGAACTCCCGAACTCCATTGATCATGTACTGCCAATGGCTGGTGCAGCAAGAAACATGATGAAACACGTCTCGAATCGAAAAGAAAAAGGTTCTTAAGGCGTCCCGTCAACATGCCTGTTCGTCATCGGCTCTACTGATCCCAGGTGGAGTGTTGTGCAGCTTGCCTTTGTTCACAGCCCAGGTGTTCCAGTGAGAAACATGAAGAAGACAGGAGTGCACATGAAAGACTGAAGTCCTGTGCATGTTCCCTGCCCTGAAGCAACGAAACCAGTGGTAGCCCGCTTGTTCAGTTCTTTTTGGAGTCCCTCAGCAAACCGATGTCTCAGCCTCTCAGCCACTCAAGGAAGCTGGTACTTGGCACATGGTTGGGACGCTGGGTCGAGATAGGCCAGGCTTTAGCGAAGATCTTCGTCTTCATGTGCCTTGGCAGATGAGGAACCGGTCGCAAAATGTGGATCCCCACTCACATTGAATCCCTGAAATGACCCATGGATTGAAATAGACCGAGCCGGTGCATGAATTGGCTTGTTCTTCATATGCAAAGCGGTAATTATTCCGCCGCTCGGCCGATAATCTTCCCAACGCCGCTGGGTCGTTCCTCAAGTTGGTTGGGGGAAGAGTTTTCACACAGAGCAGTGTGGGCAGTGCGATCAGTTCCCAGACATTCCATGGGACCAGTTCCAGGTCGTTGCTATTCGGTTGGAGGCCATCGCTTCAAGGTTGGAGGCCATTGCTTCTAGGTTGGAGGCCGTTGCTATTTTATTGCAGGGCCATGGCACTGGAAGATTTACCTACATTGGGGTGAGCCAGAGGGTGGAGCTGTCATGGGTCCTGACTGGCTGCGTCCAGGCCATGAGACTAGAACACTCGATTCTATAAATAAATGGAGTTTTGCCGTACTAGTTAGGGGTGGTTAAAAAGAGGTCAATGTCGGTATATATTCCATCGAGTCTTTGGGGTTTGGTCAGTCATGGTCCGTCCCTCCTGCCCGTCCTGCCCTCTCAGAGAAACTTCATTGGCAAAAGCTTCTTACCGGTCACATGGACAGCTGGAGATGGAGATCCAACTTTTCACCAGATCGGAACTTACTCCACTGTTATGAGCTGCAAACCGGGGAAAATGGCTTTCCCCACTACAATTGACCAACATGATCCGCAAGTTCTCCTTAAAACAAGAACTGATCACGGGGATCCCTTTTGGTGGGAAGAACCCATTCGTTCCGGGCTTTCCCTCCCCCAGTTGGGCCGACCCCACCTGTTCGCCATGTGCTGGGCATGGACCGAATCGGCCGAATGCTTCGCCGCCGCCCGCCCCAGGGTGTGTGTGGACGTCACTCGGGTGCACCCGCAGTTCGATACCCTGGAGCGCCGTGGCAGGGGGAGGGGACTGGCTGCGCGACCGGACGACGAGGAGCAAGAGGACAAGAGCCAAAACGAGTTCATTGGGCGGAAACCTCGATGTTGGAAACCTCAGGAAACCTCGCTGATATGGACTCTTGATGATATGATGATATTCTCTTCAGGCTAGGTAGTTTGAAATACTCATCATAAGAGTCGCTACTCGTACATGATGGAGGGTGTTCACCCTGACAAAGGGAACGGTCTGACCAGAGATCATGGCCTCATCCCTGGCATCCCTCCTGTTTCGGGGGGTCCAGAGAGCATGATTCGAGCTTTCTCGTCCTCTTGTCGTCTCCTCGTCTCCTCGTCTCGTGAGTTGAACGGCTTCCTGGGGTGGAAAGCTGAAAAGCATTGAAAGCCACGCACCCAGACCAGACCATCCATGGATCTGGAATAGACTGATAGATACATGACATACCCCATGAACATGATCCAGGATCATGTAGGTAACTATTCCATGGATGGTTTGGGGAAACAGATCTTGCTTCTGTCTATATCTCAATTGTGTACGACTGCAAACTGCAAAGCCATGGTGTTCTGAAGGGGTTGAACTGTTGACATGTACAAAGATGACATGTTTGTTCACAGGTATACTCACTACATCTCACTACTACAGTTACCGCAGTCTCGGACTGCTGGCCCCCATTCCTGTCGCAATCCACTCTCCAAAGGAACCATAGATATGTCACCCCTGCCAGACCCCGTCTCAGTCTCGTGAGCAATCACAGCAACAGAACACGATCCATGCAAATCGCGTCAAGAAACCCTAGGGCTCCAACCACCTCCTGAGAAGGTGGTTGGGTTTTGGGGGTCTAACCACCTTCTGAGGATATGGTTGGAGCCCTAGGGAAAGACCATTTGTAGGGTGGAGCTGCCACTGCCAGGGTCACTGGCTGTGCGCCATGCATGAGACTGGAAGACTCGATTCTATCAGAAACGGGTGGTTTAAAAGAGGTCAATGTTTGCACATATATTCCATACATCAAGTCTGTGGGGTTTGGTCATGTTTGGTCAGGCATGGTACTCCTCGTTCGCCTCAGACGAACGAGGACATGTTGGGTGGAGCTTTAGCTACCCCGAAGCCGACGACTCCAGACGCTCACCGCCGAGTCCGCAGAAGCTTCGGCCCTTGGGAGCCCACGTAGAGACAGGTAGACAGTGACGACCCGACTGACCCAGTACCTTCGAAAATGGGACATGACCCCATAAAAAACAGGTACCTGTACCGTACTTGTACCCATTTTCCGAGGTACTTTGAGACTCCAGGTAGATAGATGTGTTACTAAGGTTCGCGAGTTCAAGTCCTGTTCATTCGCATGCTGGTCACCCTCCCCCTGGTCACTCATCCGATCATTCTCGAGGTATGTCACCTCAGAGATGAGGGCTGCTTCGAGCAGCCTGACGACTGCGGACGCACGCTTAGAGAAGGTCATCAACTTAGTCGAGCCTCGGCAAGCGCGGGGGGCGTGGCAAGGGGAAGGTCGTAATTCACTTCTTCTAAGATCTTCTAAGTATGGGTTCTTCACCGAGCTTGATGTTACTAAGTTGAATTGTTTGTGCTGGTCCTGCTTGTGTTGCGTTCATGTGGTTCTTTGTTGCCTTTCATGCTGTTTTTTCTTAGTTTTTCTTGCTGAAAAAGGCTCAGCATGCAAATGATCAAGAACTGATTCCACCCCCCAAAAAAAATTAACTCAATCCAGTCTAGTCGTCACCCCTGCCAGACCCCTTCTGCACTCACCCCGTACGAAACCGCGGATAAATTCGGAGCCGGTCGTTGAGTGGAGCGAGGATGACTATGGCTGGAACCGGGGCTTTCTGATCAATGTGGGCCTTCGGGCTGAATGGAAGGGAGATGGTGGAAGGGAGAGCAGCCCTTTTTTGAGTGAGAAAGCCACGAACTATCATGAAATCATGTCTTTTAGGGCGCTGATAGGAAGCAGTCCTTAAATTGGACAAATATCTTCAGTGAAGCTCCAAAGACTGTAGACAAGAGACCTCAAGAGTGCAACCTTAGAGTTTGGAGACGACTTTGCGCTCGAAGCTGTAGACATTCCGATATTGGTCAACGTTGGCTTTTGTTGTGGTTTGGCTTTTGTGAAGCTCAGAGACACGAGGGTCGCTGACACCAGACAATTCGACGGAAGGGTTCAGGGTTTAGGGTATGGAGTGGGAGGACCCAGAGGGCCCTAGACACAGACTTGTCTCAAGATCGTCTCAGAAGTTGTACACGACACAAACGGGTGAAACATGTTTTTTCCTGCCATTTTTTTGGTCAAACCCACAGAACGCTTACTCTCCAGGTGAAAACCCGGGTTTCACAACTTTTGAGGGGCTGGTGGTTCCAGAAGGAAGAGACCGGGAACCTCGCCTGGCATCCCCTTCAGGTCTTCATAGATCGAGACATCAAATCCGTCAGATCCAAACCCCCGTCAGTTGGGTGGATGCCGCATCACCGTGGCGGACCCCCGGAACCCGCGCCCGGAACCCGCGTCGGTTCACCAGGCGATGTCAAAGGCCAGGTCTTAGACCAGGCGCTGCGCGCGCGGAGGCGCGATCCGCAGCCGCTGCAGCTGGCAGTTGAGCGGCTCAGATGAGGTTTTGACGTGGGCGAGGAAGGTTCTGATTGGATGGGCCCTAGGGCTCCAACGACGATGTCGTCAGATTGATGATTTGTCCAAAGAATGTATCAGTATCATTTGGTACTGTGCGACCTCCACTCAAGATCCCTATCTATCTAGAGCTCAACCGGTGCTGCAAAGATCTCCGTTTCTAGGAAGACAAATCTTAGAACCCACGGTTGTGCTGATAGAAATAACACCTCAAACGGTTGTGATTTGTTGCATCTAATACCCAGACACTCCATGGGACTGCCATAGTGTATGCTGTATATAGGGGGTGGTTTGCATCTATACCACCCCTCAAGACAGTTGGCTCAAAAAGTATTTCTTTGGATCCCTGATTTGATCCTTTGGTCGCACCCATTTCATCCACCGGGTTCTCGTCTCCTTTGGTCGCACCCATTTCATCGTCATGTCCCGACTCTAGATAAGCTTGTGCCGCCCAACGGGGCGTGCAAGCTCGCTAGCCGGTAGCATGGGTGTTTCAGCGGCTGGAACTCTTACCCAGACGCTCCATGTATGCCATATATGCCGATCAGTTGGGGTCAATGTAGGCATATATGGCATACATGGAGTGTATGGGTTATGCCCCTATGTCCCTCATGCTGTTGGAATCCCAATCGACTCCAGGGCGACCGTCAGCCCTTCAGGCTTGGGACCTTCGTGGGCTATGGCACCCTTCGGATGGCCCGTGTGCTGAATGGTAGCTCCACACTCATCACCGTGCCGTCGCGGCACTGGAGGGGCTCGGTCTTCGGTCCGATGAGTTGAGGGAAGCATCGGACGCGAGGCTTTCACCCGGTCTCCAACAGGTGAAACCTGGTGACAGGTGCGACACCAACTGGTTTCCGGGGTGCCGAAACAGGTTGGAGGGTTCTGGTCGGGGAAGATCTACCTTTTTGTGGGTTCCATGCCACGGAGTCAACTCCAAGCTCGGTTTGGTCAGCTCGGTGAGTCGGCCATGGGCATCCATGGGGCTGCACGGATCGAGTGGGATTCCTGGTGGGAAGGAGATCTGTGATTGGTTGACCTGTACTGCACCAGAGGTTTTTCAGGACCTGAACGTTCGATCTATCCCAGTTGGGTACCCAGGTGACGGTCCTAGTTCAGGTCACTGGCTACCTCTCTTGGCAAGGGAGGAACCCCAAGGTTATACGGTATTTGCTCCAGGTTCCTCGCTCCAGGAGGCGCGATTTCGCCCTGTTTGTGGAAGAGGTGGGCGAAAGAAGACAGGTGGGGTTCTTCAGGTTGTGTTGGAATATTCCGGAGCGATGGCTTTCAGGCGGTCATATAAAGGCCGGATGGTGTTAAAGAAATTGTTGGCCTGAAAACATCCAAGAGAGGTTGGGAGACCCTATGGGACCCTCTGGTGGTACACGGATATGCTTTTTGGGGCTCTTCAACCTCCCGCTTCCATCTTTGAACTTGTCGCTTCCATCTGAATGCAAAACCGGTGGAAGCTTTTCCTCCCAGGTGGATCCAAGCGTGATGTCCTATGCCATTGCGAGCAGCCTCTACGAGCAAGCCGGTGTCCGAGATCAAATTACCATGAAGATGCCCGGACCACCGCAAGGTCGTTCGAACGGTCGCTCCAAACCGGGGAACGGTCGAAGACCAGCTTCGACGTCGCGTCGCAGCTGAAAACGATGGCCGGTACCGTCACCGACGGTTCTGCCGTGTGACTGGGGGGGTTTTGCCCGGCGACAACGCCGCCACAGCCGCCGCGGTTAATGCCTTTTTAGGCTCAAGCGGGGCAGAGAGCTGACGTTTTGCAATGCTTCGATGGCTTTTGTTGGTTAGTCTAGGCCTCGCAGAAGACGAGGCCGGCCATCCAGACATGAAGTGTTTTCTTTTCCTTGCATTTCCAGAAGAGCAGAAGCATCATTCAAAAGAGACACCTAGTAGACTGACTGTGCTTTTGGGGTGGTGTGATGCATGTCCAGTCTGATGACCATTTCTTGGGTTTTGGCCTTAATTTCGGTTGATATGTGATATATGTCGATGTCTTTTTGCCGATGTGTTGATACGTACTATGACAATTTGGCCGATTGATGTTTTCCGATGTTTTCCGTTGATTTGTGTGTTGGCTTGCTTTTCGTCAAAAACGGCACTTGTGTTGGCAAGAAACAGATCCATAGTTGTGTTTTTAAGCATGAGAAGCATATTTGCAGCACAGACCAAGATTTCTATCAGCACCCCAAACCTGTCTATTAGACCCTTCCCAAGCCTGGAACGAAGGACACCCTGGCAGAGTCGGGTACACGAGATCCTCAGAATACGGTGAGGCATGTGAATACGACGTGCACTCAGCTTTCTTAAGCTTCCGGATGGCCAGTTGCACAAGTGATAGGCCCTTCATGACCCTTCTATACCGTTCCGCAGAATTTTTTTTTGCATCTTCCTGTGCAGGAGGTGGTTTCCAGCCAAAGCTGCCACTTCCTGCAAACAGGACTTGGTTTCCGCAAACATTTTCCTTTTCAGCGGGACAACACAAACATTGTCGCCGACAAGAAGAAAGGAATTTGCCTGAGCCATTTGTCGGAGGAGGACAGCTAGAGAGAGTCGTTGATGCTGGTGTTCTTAACAGTGAAGGGAGAGAATATGATGCAGTTATGGTTCAATCAGCGCCTGTACCACTACACATCCCATGCCATGCCACGATTCATGGTTTTTGCATTTTGCATGCCGTTTAAGTTTAGTTCGACGGCTGGGCTTCCGGAACAAGCATTCTTGAAGGAGTTGTCCAGTCCAATCGCAAAGCTCTCGGAGGCTTATCATGAGGATGGCTGGTGCGTCTTTGGGGCCTTGGGCAGTTTCATTTCAGAATGCGCTGTGAGCCGACACACACACAATATCAGCAACTTCCTGGCTGAGTCTTCTGGCTTGAGTCTTCGCACAGACTTTTTTTCTTTCGCCTCCGGTTCCTGGGAAAGCCACAAAAAGCGAATCACCACGTGGGACACGGCCTTTTTGTGGGTCATTTCGGGTTCTCCATCGTTTTGGGCTGCAGATTTTTGACCTGGAAGTGCCACATCACAAGGTTCTGGACAGGATATGTCTTTTATGTCAATGGACCACAGGCAACACCATATACCCTGAAGTTGTTCGACAATCGGACACTCACCATCCGGGATCACATTTATCCCTTGGATGATTTGTTCTGCTTTGTGAACGGCTGGTACTCCTTGGACAGGGCTGCGATTGTGCAGAATTTCAGCTACCTGGAAGAAGTTTCGGAAAGGGAATGCAAGAACTTGGACGCCTAGCCAGGAAAAGTGGTCAACTTTTCACATATGTAAGGTTTTGGTTGCCCTATGTCGCCATGAACCGATTGAGAGTTGTTTTGTTCATAGAGGCGCGGCCTGTCAGGAAGAGACCTTTCCAGGATACTTCAACATCAGCTACAATGACTTTTCCAAAGAATCGGATGATGATGAGGCTCTCTTGGAAGCTTTGGCCAGAGAGGGTGGTGGCTTCATCTCAGAAAAGGTCGTGAAGGGCATGCGCCTCCATGCGGCCACCAAGTGTCTTTTCAGAGGTGGGGAGCGAGACTCGTGGGTCATTCGTCACGGAAGGGTAGCTTCAGGGATTTGCCTTACCCAGAGGGTCCAGACCCCTCCATATGAGGGTCCGACCCCATCATATGAGGGTCCAGGAGCGTCTGGGTAGTTCAGATAGCTTTAAAGCTGAAGGGGGAATCCTCCCACAACCTTTGCAACGCGCAAGTCTACATAATATGGATGCACTGACCTGGTCCGATGGGGTTTGTATCCAGCTGGTTGACTTCATATACCTCTCTACTTCATGCAAGTCACCTTCACCCACTTCATTCTTGCTTATCCCATGATTCTTTCTGCACGAGCTTCTTCCTTGTCCTCACGCTCTTCCTCATGCATATTCCCATTCATGTTCATCCTGGGGCTGGTTTTGCTGCTGCTGCTGCTTCACTGGGCTCGCGCGCGCTCATGCGCCGCAACACACCTCCCACCATATTCCACCCAGAGATTCTGCTGGCCAAATCCAGGCGCTTCAGTCTTTGCCGGCACCCCTTCGTAGACTTTGGACTGCAGCCATATACCCGTTCCTGGTGTTTCCCTTCCCCCATACCTTTCTTCCTCAAGTTGCGTGAAGTTTTGTAGTGAAATTCTGGTTTTGTAGTGAAGTTTTGGGCCAAGGCCAGGCGTGATACTGTATCATGTCATTCCAGTGTTTTTGTTACTTTAACCTAAGAACCCGTGCCGCCGCTACCATGCACCATTTTGTTGTGTTTTCCTCATTTCTTGAAGATTTCTTGTAGGTCCACTCTAGTTCGTTTGACCAACCGGCCGGCAGGTGGAGGTCGCGGAGCCGTTTGTGACTTGGCCAACTGCGCCGAGCGCGGCTGCCTGGGACCGAACAATGAGGTCCTCTACACGGTGCGGGGCGAATGTGAATCCGTTTGGCCCAACCGACCTTTGCGAGTCATCGGCAGATAGCAGATAGCGTTTCCATGATGTAGATGGCCACCGACTAGGGAGGATGGCCACGACCTATTGGAGGGATGGCCAGCGGCCAGACTCCACAAATTTGTAGAGCGTTGCAGATGGTGCCAAGGCTTGTGGTGAGTCTCCGCACAGTAGAACGTGCGAAGACACAGCCATTTCGACCGTAGTGCCGCTGAGGAAAAAGGCCTCAAAGATGATCCTTCATCCGTCAGCTTGGTTCAACACATACTCTGACTCACTAAAATGGTACTGGTATATACACCGGCCTTGCTCCACAAGGCAAGCTTGCTCTACCAACTAAAGAGGTTGTTCCACGGAACGCTCGCCCCCCTTGGCTGCACTGGCGCGTGCACACTGTGAAATGGAGATGTTCCACATTGTTCCACCCGAGCTTCTCTCTGGTTCCGTGAGTCTTTGGGGCAGGTCACCTGCAACCCGTTGGGAAGCCAGCGCTTCATGGTTTAGTGGGAAGCCATTGCATGGCAAGGAAGAGGGATTCAGTGGTGCACTGAGTGGAGGCCATCGCTAGGAGGTTGGAGGCCGTCGCTCTTTGAGTGGAACCGCTGTGCCATGCATCCACCCGGTAGTAGTATCGACCCTCGGCCAAGGGAGATCGAACAGTGCCGCAGACTGAAAAAAAGCATCCAACCTGGGTGAATCATGGTGCAGGTCTGGTGACGGTGAGCTACGATCGTAGCTTCTTGAGGAAAGATTTCTCCTACAATACCTTCCGGGAGCTGAAGCTACAGGGAAAGAAGATCGATGCCCTTTTCATCGATCATGTGACGCTGGATCTGCAAGAATGTGCGAAACGAAGGATGGTGAAGGCGTATCCGTTAACAATACTTGCAACTAGTTGTCATGTTAATACCTGCAGCTAGGTCAAACTATCTCAACTCAACCGCTCCATTTATGGCACATTGATATGCCTACATCGGAGTGGTTGAAAAGGGGTCAAGTATAGGTAGCTACTCCATGCTACTCCATATTTTGGATAGGGTTTTCTTCGACGACAGGAAGAAGGCTGGATTCTGGCATGCCCGGGTGAACCTGGATGAACTTCACAGGTGATCAAACTGCAGCACAGCGAGAAAACCCTGGAGGGTGAACCTGATGTATGGCTGTATAGGTTTGCAAAACTCCAAGCCATTGAATATTTGAGCACCCCTGCCAGACTCTAGACCTAGACCTTGACCTGGCCAGAAACGAACCTCGGCCGGTGGGTTTGCCCACTTAAACCCATGTTTTCTGGGGAGAACGCCAGATGTTTCAGGAAGAAGTTCTACCTCTCTGATTTGAAGCTGGCTTTGCAACTGGATCTCTTGGCCCAAAACTGCGTGGTGGTGGCCGACAACATCCTGTCGCCTGGCGCGCCGGACTACAAGAGTTTCATGTTCTCAGAGGCACGTACACCTGGCATGCCACTAGGAGGGGTGGCAGGTGGAGAGGCAAAAGACAAGCCTCAAACATCAGAGCCCCTTTGTGATATGTATACTGACCACTTGCAAGAGCAACACCTATTTGGGTGATTTATTAATAAGAGGTAAGAGGTAGGGCATGGTTGTTTGGACACTGACAGTCAGCATGGAGAGAAGGCCCCCAGCATGTCAAGACTCAAGACTAGATTCAGATCCGGTGTGAACTGGGACCCTTCCGTGGGCACGGATGGTCAACACAGGAGGGCCGCCAGCTGTTCAAGACTGAAGTGCACCAGCTGCACGTGGAGCAGCGAGATTGCAGATGGATCGGGTTGCCGAAGGAGGGCACTTCAGTCAACGGAGCTTAAGAACATGCGTGTGGTCAAGCAACAGGATGATTCCAATGATGGTCAAAGATAGATTTACCCTTTGACTTACTAACATGGAAGTGGATGGCACCACCTGTTTGCAGAGGATTTCATGGTCATCCCAGTGGGCCATGCCATCCATTTCCATGTCATGTGTTCGGAGTGTAACCGGACGGGTGGGTGAGGGATGACGCCAGTCACTCTGGATCAACACCTCGGGCTGAGACATGATCATGGAATCCCGGACAGATGGTCACGACGCCTCATCAGTCGGTCAGTCCCAGTACAGCTGCAGGACTCAGTCGGTCAGTCCCAGTGATCCACGATCGAGATCGAAGGGCCTGCAACCTACAGTGACCATCATCGTCATCATCCACTGGGCCCTGGGCATGGGATATATATACCCAACTTATGTATTTTGCCTTGGAGATCCTTGGGGAATCTTAGAGGTTAGGGTGTCTATTGACAACTTTTCCGATTCCTCTCAGTGGTTGTCCTTCTTCAAGAAACCTAGCCTACAGAGATTCACCGGGTGAGGAGTACTGACTACTAAGCATTTTCAGAAACGGACGATCTTAGCTCAGGCTCAAACCCTGCGGTTCGCTGAGGTACATGCCCACCTGGCCAGATGAAGTGCTTGTGAGCACGTTTTTGGGCGCAAGTTAGGCTCCAACTGCTGGAGCCGGCCGGGTACCCCAGCAGCTGAAGCAAGAAGATGCAACATTCCGGGCAAAGAGCCCCAGCGAAGACAGCATTCCCAAAGATCGATGTGCGCTTCCTATGGTGCTTCCGCAATATCCCATGATCCCTTTTGGTCCTTGGTCTTGGCAGAAAAAACAACACATCGTCAGAGTCACCAGATCGACTAAGCCCAAGTTGCTGTAGACTTTTAGAAAATCGGGTCGGGTCTTTGCTCTCAGGTCGGTCGTTGTGTCACTTCTCGGTCGTACAGCTGGAGTAGAAGTGATCCGGGCCGCAGACCGGGAAGACTCCGCGAAGACAGGTAGGTCACCGCGCGTTGACTCCAGAAAAGGAAGCAGCAGACTGGTGGGTCATGAATTTTGGCGAGGGAAGGCTGGAGAAGCTATATAAAGTATGTTAAATTGTCATCAAACTTGAGAAAGACACCCGACCCTTAATATCAAAGAGCTTCTAAGTTAAGATTCACACATTTGTAATTTGGAATCATGCTTAGTGATTCTAGACGTTCCGTGGCAAAGGGCTTAGGACTCAGAAGCCAGTGGCTTGTCTCGCATCCACCCTCCACGCGGTCAAGAACAAGGTCGACATCAGCCGCATCGACCTCGGCCGCTGTCCGCTCAGAGCCCCTCATGAATTACGCAAATACTCCGCTGAAGGAAAAGCCTGGACTCTTAAAACCACTGGATTGTAGAGCTGGTTTGTGGATCAGGGTGCATGCGAGTTTTTGGGAGTGTCATGGGTTATGTGGATGGCATAGACCTGAACGGATGACCATTTTCCGAATACCACACGCCATCGCCTTCCATTTGTGTGACTTGGATTTGCATAAGTAATTTGATTGGATCATAGGCTACTGTTGGTAAGACCACCGCTTTGCAAAGAAAAGTCGGTCGTTTTCCCAGGGACCAAAGCTCCAAATCGATGTGTTTCTCCGTGTTTCACCGCAGGAGGCGTTGCAAGTGAACCTGGTGGCGCCGGTGGCGTTGATGCAGGTGGGGAGGGGTGCTGGGCGGCAGCACCAGCTCAGCTGTGACCTCCCTCCCGCGACGTGGAAGATGAGGCCTTCGGCCTTCCCAGCGCTGGCCAACGAAAAGCATCCTACACGTTCCGATCTGAAAGACCAAGGCTCCTAAGATCTGAAATCGGCACCTAAGCAATGACTTACACTCCCGAAAACTAACATGGTTACGTGGATGGCACCACCTGTTTGTAGTGGATTTCCATGGTCTTCCAAGGGCCATTCTCCACTTCCATGTTAGTTCCAGGGAGTGTACATCATCCCCCACTCTCCCTGGTGATCTTGGCCCATTTTCCCCATTGCGCTGAGGCCTTGCTCCCACGTCTCCGCGCGGGCGGCGGCCGTGTACTGCACCTGGGCACCTCTGTTGCCTTCCAACCGCAGAAGGGCACTGCGACGTGCGCCGTGCACTGAGTTCCGGGTGTTCCGGCGTTCGCACGGTGCAAAGGCGTTCGTTGCCGCGCGCGAACGAATCGTGCTCGTGCGAGAATCTCGTCAATATCGAAAGTCAATTCTTTGGGCATGCCGCAAAGATAGCTCAGTGAAGGATTTATGTAATTTTATAATAAGTGTTAGATCTAGGGTAACAGTCGGTAGACCTGCTGATCACGATTTTTTGAGATGGAAAGGCCTGCAACCAAACCATCATCATCCACTGGGTCCTTGGTAATAGGATATACCCATTCCCATTGTTCCGGACAGTTCTTTGGGCTCCTGGCCTGGTCTCTTGGCGTCGGTGCCCAGAAAAGCTGTTTCGGGTGGCCAGAAAGGTGAGCACAGCCGACCTCGGATCGAAAGCATCCGACCGCTCGTACCGTCACGGAGCACGCGGCACACCACGCGCGCGTTTGCGCCAACGCGTGGCATCGGAGGTATGGCATTACCAAAGCGGCCTTTCATCGTTTGTACCAGCAGCTCAACGCCGAGCCGAAGCTGTGGATGGGTGTCACGGGTGCCCCGGGGAAGGAGTACAGTCGACATGGTGTGGGTGGATAGGCTTCATGTTATAAGAGGATATGGGTATAACACAGACACACTTATGTCAGATCTCAGGTAGGATATGGGTATAACACAGACACACTGATGTCAGATCTCAGGTTTCCCAGGCAGCAATTACGAAGAACAAAGTGAGTTTATGAGGTTGAGGGGGTGGTGTGTGTGGGGCAGAAGGGTGAACCCAGTTCCTGTTAAGGGAGCAAAAAAAGGAACCATAAACGTCAGTTGTTTGTGGAGGGCCGTGGCGGTGTTTCCTTTTCAGCTGAGGGAAGTGTGTAGACCAAGTGTGTAAAGAATGTTTGTGTCTGCGTTTTTAAAACCCTTAGAATCACAGGGAATCTTTTGATTTTTTTCTACCTTGTTCTCTACAGTAAACTCAGCGCAACAACGCTATGCCTTGGAGCGGGAAGCACGGATTGATCACCTGCGTGCACCTGCATCTTAACAAGTGTGGCGTTCTGTAACTACCTTCCCCTCTAGATGACCAGGCTGTTTCAGGTGACTTTGAGGTCTGCAGACTTGCATGTGACGTCGATCGTTTGCACTGCTCGAATCTTTGGAACTTTGGCAGAGCTCTGGAATCTTTCATTTTCAGACCGCTATACATATATATACCTTATCCCTGGTACTCTTAGGCTTTCACACCTAGTTGGGCGTGTGGCCTCCGGCATTCCATTTCAGTACGCATTATCTCGAGTGTGTGTGGTGGGTGGAGGGTGGGGGGGGGCTGGGGGGGAACGCAGATCTACCCAGATCAAAGGTATTTGCGCACCATCCACTAAGATTCCACAAGGGTTGAGTTGAGCCGTTTTGGGTGGAAAAAGGGGCGGAAGGCCATGCCTATCCTGGGTTCCTGGGGCAACATGGCCACCCTCAGCTGGGTTGAGAAAGTCTGAGCCCTTTCCCAACTCATGCCCAGCTGCCCAAGCACACCAGTTTTGAGAGCCAGCAGCCTTGATTGAAGTCTTTTGATAGGCGACTTTAGCATTACTTTCATTAGAGGTTGGTTTCCAGGATTGGAAAACCACTATGATCAAGTGTTCACTCACAAGCTGGAGCCCAAGGAGTTGATTCGCACCATGTTCCTCTTGTATGCCATGTATTGCCTGAGGCCTTTTGACCACACGACTAGGCACTTTGAAAGCTTGAGTGCCCTTGGACAAACAAGAGAAGGGCTTATCCTCGGGTGAAACTCTGGTCCTAGTTCACCCTGCTCCTGCTTTCTTAGAGGCCCTTCCCGCCGGTGGTGTCTCTCACCTAGGAAGACTTGGCCGTGCCCGTGGGATCACTAAGCCCAGGCGGGGTGGTTAACCCATGTTAACCCTGACGGAAGCTGGCAGAGGATATTAACAGGGCTGACCGAAAAAGGCACGCAAAGCCAGGAGTGGGGTTTCCCCACATCAAAGCCAGGATATGCCGTGGGATCTCTGGGTTTGATGTCTGCATGAACATGGAGAGGTTGAAGAACCTGAACTAGACTATCCTACAGGTACCCCTGGTGACGGGTCCTAGTTCAGGTCACTTAACCTCTGTCGGTTCTGGGGGTAGGGCATTGTTTTCTATTTTTGGCTTGTTGGCATGTCTCAAGTCACTTCGCCTTTGCAGGATCATCGAGAGATGGTGGCAAAGCTTCTGGAAAGCTATCCCAACCAGAGGACCCAGAACATATCAGACACCCTACTGCCCCCCTCAGAACTCAGAAGGCTCAAGTGCCCAAGACATGATGCATTTTGCGGGGAAGCCTTTTTGGTAAATCGCCAGACCTGGGAATTGAGCTTATTCGAGTCCTTGGGGGCTATGCACGAACAAGCATGGAAGTGGAAAAGACTGGAAGACGATGAAATCCGAATACCAAACAGGCGGTAAACTCCACTTCCATGAAGATGTTCTGAGAGTGTAGTGGCTATGGATCAGGATGTAGATCCTAGTTGATGGACCAGAACCAGTCTTTTTGACACCCATCCGAGATAAGTCCCTAGGGCTCCAACCATATGCTCAGAAGGTGGTTAGACCCCCAAACCCACCCCAACCACCTTCTCAGGAGGTGGTTGGAGCCCTAGGGAGTGATTACCTCTAAAGAATGAGTCAGCTGGATCTTGCAGCCGTGTCCGCCGCCAGGTCTAGTCGACACGGAAGGGGTTCAGGACCATGTGGCCAAGGCAAGGCGATTAGAGCTCCCGCACGTTGCTTGGCAGAGTGGTTCGCTCTTTGCGCTGGTTGGGGGCTTTTGGCGGTGCCGAAGAAACGGGGTCTGAAAAGGTGCCGATGTTGTGACCTCGTTGCCGGGCCGCCCTTTTTTCAAGGAGATGTTGCTCAACTCCGCCAGGTAGCCACAATCCACCACATACAGTAGGGGGTAACGGGTAGAATGAGTCATTTTCCTGGACTAACAGGCCCGGGATGTGCAAATGCTTGAGCCTGATTCAATTCGACCGCTGACGAACTCGAGATGTTCGCGACCCCGAAGTTCCCGTTCCACTGTGGTGGCTCTCAGGAAGTGAACTGGGTGGTGAACTGAATAGTTCAGAGATGTAACCACTCAAGTGGTTTCAGAATATTTCAGAATATTGCACCCACTGACTCATGGTTTTTTTTCCATGACTGGAAGACCACCCACCATGTTTCTCGGCGGTTTGACTCGCACCCAGTCCAAGTCAATCAGCCAAGGTGAAGTACTTTGATCAAGCCTTTGAGAAGGCCGGCAGCTGTAGCGAGACATCACAAAAGAATCGAAAACATGTTCAGCAACAGTACCCGGTCCTGCCCGATCGCCGGTGAAAAGCCCACCCCGGTCGATGAAATTCATTCCCCTCCGAGCTCCGTGCGAGGAATTCGGTGATTCCGGAGATCGTTCTTGCAGTTTTCTTTCGAGAAAAGCATGTTGTTCGTATGAATCGTTTGAACCCGACCTGCGGTCCACAAAAAGGGTACGGCGTTAGGGTCATGGGTCGGAGAACAAACGCCGCAGTGGCTGGTATATCATGAATTAACGTCACACACCCCAGCTTAGGTGTACTGACTTTGCAAGGCGGCCCTCATCCACACCTTCCTCTTCGCACCACCGGCCGCTAGCAACGGTCGTGCATCGCTATACTAGCAAGGTGCACCGCTACTAGTAACAAGGTCATTACCAATGCATTACTACTAGTAATAAAAAAATACTACTGAACAAATACCACCAAAGTACCTCCGAAAATGGGTACAAGTACATGTTTTTATGGGGTCATGTCCCATTTTCTAAGGTACTTTGGAGGGTCCAGGTATTTGCTACTAGTAGTGATGCACGACCGGGCCATCTTCGCATCACCGGGCCGTCTTGTCGCATCGCTCGCGATCGCTGAGGGTTGGACGACGGACATGAAGCAGCTGATGGCTTTTGTGGATTACTTGCTGCAGCGCCAAGTCTTGGCACTTTTTGCGTGGTGTGCGTGAGATGGATTGGAATGAAATGGGATGACCTTTTTCGGTTTGCAGCCTGGTACTTGTATTTAACTTTCCTGGCATTCGTTGACGGCTTATTGCACGCTTGAAGCCTCATGAATGCATTTAGGTATTGGATCATCCTAATCGTCTGATGTTAAACGAAGAAAGCCACCAGAATCCTGCTGTCCGACAAAATCCTTCTCGGGCTACCTCATTCTTCATTCGTGCATTGTGCATTAGTCCCGAGATTTTCGAGAGAACCCCAAGTTGGAGCCCCTCAAGATCCGCCATCGATACTAGGTTGGAGGCCATCGCCATCGCTCTTGGGTTGGAGGCCATCGCTTCTAGGTTGGAGGCCATCGCTCTTGGGTAGGAGGCCATCGCTTCTAGGTTGGAGGCCATTGCTAGTAATTAGAATGCAATTGGAATTTCACTGAGACAGTTCGCCTTCCAGTGTTCCAATCGGTTGTCACCGACGCCCGCCGCTTTGTGAAGCACCTAGGCTGCCTGCGGAGGAGTTCACGGCTCGCGAGTGGCGCTTCAGCGAGTGGCGCAAGCAGGCAGTCCAGAGGGTGGAGCTGCGATCCATGGAAACGCCAGGGTTTTCAGTTGGATTCAAGGATTTTGTGGTCCAATTGCATGTAAATATCTTTGGGTTGGTTGAACAGTGAAAATGAGTGGGCACGAAGAGCCAGACCAAGGTACATGTCAGGATGAACAGTCTTAACCTGTCCTAATGAAATGCCAGTGTTTTCCTTGCTTTTCATTCGGATGCTTGAAATGGGGCTTGTGATTGTCCAATAGCCAAAACACCCAATTTTGGCGGCAATGTTTTTGGAATTCTCGGCATTTTTTGTTAGCTTCCTTGAGATTGGCTTTCGATGGACCCAGCTCCTTTACCTGTGAATGGTTTCTTGTCAGGGTAACAACCATCTTGCGAATCTCGGAGGCTCCAGGACGACGTTTTGAAGATTCCTTCCGGGGCTCAGACTTCCACCACCGCGCAGGTGGAAGCAATTTCCTTCCGCGCACCGAGTGGAGAGACAGGAGAAACAGGAGAAACAGGAGCCGCACGTGGAGTGTGGGGAGGTGCGAGGGGAGATGCCAGGAGCCATGCTGGAGCCCCAAACGATTCCCATTGGATGGCAGAATAGATGGTAGAATGTGGCCAGAGCAAGGTTTTTTGTATAAGGGGTGGGCCTGGGACTGCAGACCCCCAACACAGTGAAGTTCACGAAGAAGTTACCATCTATCAGCCCAGTAATGATCGTAGCTCATGTAGACTCTTGATGAATAACCTCCCCATTTGGATTGTTCTGCCTTGGATCCAAGAGACGGGCAGTCACTGGTGCTGCGTTCAGTCTATGGCTTGCTGCGAGTCGACGGGCAGGTCCGCTGGGTCAAGGTCCGGTCGGCTGAGGTCGGGCCAATGGTGGAACTCCTTCATCGATCGAGGATAAGGAGGCATGTTCCACCATCTGCGAGGATAGGGGAGAAGGGCAAGAACGACATGTGTATTGCTTGGTCATGGGAAAGCACTCTTGTGGATGGGTGCATGGATTTGTTCGGTTTTATATATATATACCTTCTGAACCAACAACCTGCTAAAAGTAAGGATGTCGGTTGAGAACCCGACTGTTCCTTTCAAAACCCGGGTTTGATATTTTGACTAAATTCCTGATCCTCCCTGCTCACGTCTTGCTGATGTTTGGGCTCCTTTTTGGGATTCCCGGACGCCGTTGGCTTCATCAGCCAAAAGTGCCAGGAGCTAAGAACCCCTGCAGTTGCTTCAGCTAGTTTAACTTCTAGCTATGCATCCAAAGACTCAAGACTCAGCAACGGCGGATCCTTGATCAATCCAGCCTTGTGATAATGGGCAAGGACTACTGCCAAGGCACGTTGCAAGGTCCGAGTCACAATTTGTCGGCAATTGACACGCCTACTAATGCGAGAAGGCCGCCCAATGAAATCCTCTGCAGGCTGGCAAGAACAATGCAAAGGACTCAAGCAATGCTGCGCTGCCTGACTTTGCTCCAAAAGGTCCACCCCCAGGTGATGCAATCTGTGGTGGTTAGGCATCAGGGGAAAAAGCGACCGACGTTTCTGCCAGGCCAGGCTGGCCCCTCGACCGTACAAACGAAGGTGTTGAAGGGCATGATTTGCCAGCAGTCTTGCCTCATTGGCTGGAATCCAAAGCTCGTGTTTGTAGAGGCCTGAAATGAACAGGTCAGCCTCCACAGTCGCTTGGAAAGCAAGGTAAAGCAAATCATTGGCCCGCACAACCTCAATGTTTTGCCTGCAAATGTGCAACACCCACTTTGCAATGGATGTGGTTGTGTGTCCCTTGCTCCATCCACCAACTGGGGTGTTTGTGGAAATCTGCATGCCCAACGTCTCCTTTGTAATCTTCTTGACGTAAGGTCGATGCTTGTTCTGCCGGCACCATGCAATAAAGTCATCGCTGGCTGCCCCAATCCTCACATCGATAGAAGAGCCCGGGAAAAGGTCACTCGTTGCTAGAAGAATGAAGGTCGTAGAGAGCAGGGACTTGCCAGCACCCATGTGCCATGTATGAAACAAGTCGAAAGTGAAATACTTTGTCTTGTCAACCCGGTCCATGGGCAAAATGAACATTGCAGGATCAGCTTTGAAGGGAGATACTGTGTTCACTGATGGCAACCACGGTGGGTCTCTGCTCTCGAAGTCTTCCCAAATCCATCCAGGGCAGTCAGCTAAGCAGCGGTGGCAAATACCCTTGCTTGCAGCGTTTTGCGTGGTGTGCTTGGCAATGTTCAAGAACGATCGAGAGAGTAGTCCAGCTTTCTGGATGTAGGGCCAGTCCCCCATAACGCTGATTGGACAGAAGTACACACGTTGTCCATCCAACGTGGTCACGCCTTCATCAAAAAGCACCCGTAAATCATCCGACACACCCCGCATGATGTCCTGAAAAAGGTCATCGCTGCTAGCATAAACAGCACGTGGAGCGGCAGCCAACAAGAAGCGGGTGCACCATGTGCTTTGTGTGTAGTTCAGATTCTGCGGAAGGCGGGTTTTCTTGGATGCACGAGATTTCCTGAGTCCATAGCCCAGAATGCTGCACGCCGAAACTATCAACATCGGTAGTTTCTTTTGACTCCTTCCTTCATCGCCGTGGACCATTAGGCCAACAACTTGCCCCAAGTCAAGGCCTTCGCGCTCTCGACTGAAAATTTCGTGACGAGGATTCACGGCCTTGTACCTGTTCCAGAAAAGGCGCCAAACATCAGACACCCTGTCAGGGTCAGGCTCTGCAAGCCCAGCAAAGCGGTACAAGAGGTTCTTGTCTGCCAGGTATCGAGCCCAATCCGACATCTTCAAAAAAGGCAGCTGTTGTTCACCCACGGTCATTTCAGACAAAGGAACATCGGCAGCAAGCTGAAAGTCTTTGATGAGCTTGTGGGTGTCACGCTCTGAGTGGGACAAAGAGCAGCGAGCAAGGGCACCTATGCTACTCCCGGACGCCGCTGGCACTTCTTCAGTAAACCCCCTGGCTGTTCTGATTGCCACTGCACAAGGCACCTAGGCGCATTGCAAACAGGTTTAAAGTTTAAAACTGATGTTCGAAGTCAGGCTGGCACAGAAAGAGATCACAAGCATTCAAAAGCCTTTGAACATGCTTCAATCTAGATTCTAGCAAGTTCATCCATGGTTGCGCTGAGCACTGGGGAAGGCGCCCCCTCACCAACATCGGCGATCAAGCCACGGAGCCCAGGCCCAGCACCTGGCTTCTTAATTCTCAAGAACAAATCATGGAGACCAATTGGGGCTACAAGTGCAGCCATGTGCCAGCTCAATCGAAAAAAATCAGCCCGCTGCTTGCCTTTTGATGTCTCGATCGGTGAGATCGCTTGGATCTCAGACCCAAAGTGATTCAACCACACGACAGGTTCCCCGGCGCCGTATGGCTAAATAATTTCACAAAAGCGAAAGGAAGGCGAAGGATTTCTCGTAATTGGCAAAATGCCGAACAAGCCAAAAAGCAGGTAGTTCCCGCTTTCGGTCACCACGTCAAGTAGCTTCGCTGCGAAAAGGGCAATATTGCAGGAGGTCAAACAAAATGGACAACTGGAAAAAGGAGAAAACATATCCACATGACCTTCAACATCCTTCAACTATTGTGTTTTCTATGATTTTTCTTTATGCACACTCAATGCTAGTGACTCTAGGCAGAGAAGCTACTTTTCTTTGTGAGCCTTTGCCTTGCCAGCAGTCTGGTTTCCGTTTTTCCTCTTACGAGGTGGTGCATCAGACTTGTCCTTGCGCTCACCACCCTTTTTCTCCAAGAATGGTTTCGATTTCCTTAAGATGAAGTTGCACGTCAAGATGAGGCTGCATGCCTTCGGAAATGCCAAGGCTGGAGCCGAATCTTCAACTCCAAGGCTGCTGCGCGACTCGACCTGCAAGCTGTGGTGGGCAAACCACACGTCACGAAGAAAGGATACAAAGTGTTTTGAAAACAAGTCACCCTTTTGATTTGATGTTTTGGGCCCCCAGCGAATAGGTGGCTGACTTCATTTGCTTTTCAGCTTTGCCCCACCACCTCAGAGTAAATAATTTTCTGGGTTTGGCAAAGCTAGTCTGGTACACGAGATTAAGGAGCCTACTCCTTTCCAAAATCAGAGTTCTCTCCCTCGGCTACAAGATCGTTCAGCTTGTCAAACTCAGTGTCCAAAGTCTTGATGTTGTCGTTCAGCGACTTGGTATACCTGGAAGTGGCAGGAGTCATTGAAGCGTTGTGCGATGTAGTGAGTCAAAGGTGGCAGCTACCTACACACAGCTACCGAACTCTTTTTCTTGGATCTTCAAATTTGATACTGGGACTCCAGCGATGCAGTGGATTCTTGGGTGAAGTTGGCGTTCAAGTCTTTCAAGCACGACTTCAGCTTTGTAGCTTTGCCGAGCAAGGAATCCATGAATCGCTTCACATGCAGCTTGTTCTACAGGGAGGGAACACAAGTTTTACTGCATCAAAAAGAACGGCAGAGTATGAATGTGGGATCAAGCTAGACCCCCTACCTCAGACATGCTAGCAGCATTGTCAGCCCCACTCGCAGCAAGATCAGACCCACGTTCTTTGTAGGCATTGACAGCTTTAAAAGAATCTGGCGCAATCTCAAGCTTGGACTCTTGTGCCTCACAACGTGTTGAATCGAATATGGCTGATTTTTTTAAAAAATGCATAACAGTCAGACTGTGATTCGTAACATTCACTTCAAACAGTTGCCTGCTCCCGTGAGCGCTTTGTCTCGAGAACCTCCAACGACTCCTCATGAGATCCGCTTTCGCGGACGCAGACCCAATACTCCATGACACCGTCGTAGCAGTTCCGCCTGAGGCAATCTTTGGGCCAGCGCTCCAACAAGACGGACACTCGACACTCAAGGCCGGAGCCTGCAATGGCTGTCACCCTTGGATTCGCAATACTTCTTGGCTCCAGCGATGCGAGACCTCAGACACGCGTTGTTTCAAGAGGGTGATCTTAAATTCAGATTCATGTTGGCATGGATCAAATCTGAGCCATGGTTCTTTGTTTAATAGGTGGCAAAGTCACGCTGACCATTTCAGATCGTTCTTCATTTCGTACTCTGAATACCATCCCTCGTCTTTCTTGATGGTGATAGTTTGACGGCTTGTAACCACCTTCTCAAGCTCAACCAAAAACTTGTCCTGAAGCAGTGTAACTCGAAAGCTATATCCCTTTCAGCAAGAAGACTTTTATATGTATCTCATGGATCACAACATTCAAACTCCGTATGAATGATTGGGAGAGGGTCCTTGTCCCAATTGGTACGCTGAAGCACCTCTGCCATGTTGTCCCTGGCCTTAGTGCCTTTGGACCACTCTTGGATCACCCACATAGGTACTTCCAAGTCTGTCCTTTTCTTCTTTGATGCTACCATCCGTCTGATACGGGCCTTTGCTGCTAGTTGCAGCTTTTCCTGAAGTTCAATCCAGAACGTATTCTAACAACACTGGGACAAAGCTAGTGACTTAGTGGTTCATAAAAGGAACATATAACTGCACAACCTTGCAGAAAAGTATCCCTACGGGTCTGCTCTCGACGAGGCTTGGATCCCGGAACAGGTTCCTCTTCAGCATCGTCACCAAAGGCCTCCATGGGCCGGGAATACAGGAGCACATAGGTTTTGTTTATGCTTGTTGGCTCAAACTCCCAGAAAAATAAGACAGCAATCTTCCAGAAATCTAGTTGAGTCTGCCTGAACCTCGCTCGCTTGAGAATGGTTAGTACCCTCATTCTCTGGTGGCTCTTCCTGTACAGACACTGAAGAAAAGGCCAAAGCCAGTTGAACAGAGAGGTCATCGGCTTGAAGTTCCTGAGAAGGGTTGGGTTTGCATGGATTTGTATCACACAAGGAGGAAGACAGAAATGATGGCAGAATTGTGTGATGATAACTTACAAAGCAAGAGTCATCATCGTCACAGTCATTGTACGGATCTTCATCCACTCCGGAGAGCGGGTACTCTTCTTCAGGAACCTGAAAGCACAAGTTGTGTTAAACAAACATGCCAAGTTGTTAGTAGAAGACTATATAGTGTACGATCATCTCTTTCTGTTGACAGGCGACGGTAGTGTCAGCAGTAGTGGCAACAGGGGAAGGCTCAATAACCTGCTGCTCCACACTGGGCAGCTCTTTGGGGGGTTCCATAGTGATTTCCTGAGTCATCGAAAACAAACAATTGTTAAGCTATTGGCGTTAATCAAAGCAAAAAGACATCAGTCCCTGGCAGACGGACACACCTGCCCAAGTCGAGCTTCGATTTCCTGCAAGGCTGGGCAAAGGAATGGAAGAATGGTTGTTGGGCAGACAGTCCTCAATCTCCTTTAGAAGTTTGGATTCTTCATCGGCCATGGCATCATCCATGACTTCACCAAACCCAACTCTTAGTGTATCGCACGACCAACGCTTGGACATGACTACTGAGACTGCCCCTTGAAAACAGCCGAGTTTGCTGCGCAAAGCTTGGGTCATCCAACAATGCCTTAGACATGCCTGGCAAGTGTTTGGCCGACGTGAAAGAAAGACTACAAGAGGGAGGGAGAGAGACAGAACATGACAGAACTCCTTTTCTTTCTTTGATTGCTCGGAAGTTGCTAATTGCAAACAGCTCGTGGGTATTCCAACGGCCTTGATTGTGATTTTTTCCCTTTTCGAGTAGCATTCGGTGCACTAATCAAAACCAGGTTTTCGATTACGGGTAATTATGGGTTGTGTACGGGTAATTATGGGTTGCGTACGGGTTGCGTACGGGTTGGGCAGAACCAGGTTTTGCTGAAAATACGGGTTGTGTACGGGTAATTATGGGTTGTGTATGGGTAAAGCCAGGTTCTCACAGTCTTAAAACCAGGTTCTTGGCCCACATCCCGCTTTTCGACACCCTCGAAGCTTCAAAATGACTGCAAAAGCAGAGTTCTTCTAAACAAAATGGTTTTCGAATGTTCTCGAATGTTTTCGATTGCTTTCGAAACACACTTCCAACAAAAAGGACTCTAATTGGTGCTTTCTTCCCATGAATTTTGCCTTTCAGGCAGAAAGCTTGGAATGATTTCTTTCCAAGCCGGTGGCAAATTCAAAGTCTTGGCTCCCCGGATGTACTTGAAGCACTCGGCCAGGCGGGCCTGTGAGAAGTCAGATGTATCAGGCGTGGTCTGCATGGTCTGGGGGCCGGTGGGATAGCCAACAGGTAGCAGATTCAAAAAGCACGCTCTCGTTCGCTTCAAATCGTCGTTGATGCGGGCGACAGCTTCTCCAAAGGGTTCTGGATAGATCCTAGGGTACTCGTACCACATTTAATGAAACTTCAATCGTGTCCACATGGAAGGGCTACCCATGAAACACTCAACCAATATAGACAAGCATCTCCGTTTGTTTCAAGAATTTGCTTCCTTTCCAGCACTTCTTTCCTTCACGATTTACATAAGCCACCGTGGTTTTAATCTTTGGTCGGTTCAATCTCTTCCACCCGATGTCGAGCTTTCTGATCCCACTTGCGTTGCTGTAAGCAACCTGACGCTTTGCTGAGGCTGCACCGTATCTCGACATCCACCACGTGACGCGATGGACCTTGGAGGAGCTAGCGATGGGCAAGTGGAAACAAATGAGGGAAACCCAGCTATAAACATATATGGCTTCAATTTGGATAAGTGGCTGGTGTTCCAAAGAGGTTGAGGAAATAGGTCATCATTCTCACCCATAATGGATAGAATTGCAAAACCGATGTCCCAGGCTGTTCTACCACCCAGGTTCCACAACAAGCTTGCACCAGCATCATCAAGCAAAGGGTCCTGACAAATCACACATGCATAGTCCATAGGCCTGAAACCCCACCCATCTCAAAAATGAAAACTCAAACATTCAACCGCAATGTCCTTTCAATCAAGGCATTCGTTGTGGATACGCTCGGATATTGGACATGACCCACTGCAAAGCATGGTGACCTCCCACTTGTGCCTTTGTTAACTGCCACCAGAGAAGAACATTTGATACCAAACCACGCTACGAAGCCAGGACCCCCTTTCAAAATGAAAAGGGTAGCCAACCTCAGGCCGGGCACATGAGGCGTTCAAGTTTTGCAGCAGCTACATGAAAAAGAATGTTTCCAACTAATCTAGTGGCAAGAAACAGAAAGCCACTCGGTTGAAGCAGGTCCATCCAATCCGAGCTGGTGCTTCCCAAGTTCTTGTTCTTAGACGTCTTTCCATACAGGATGTCAAATCTTGCTGACCGATTCCCAGCCTTTCGCATAGCTTTTGTCAAGTTCGCTCTCCCAGCGTAAAATTCCAGGAATTGGAACTCCTGCACCAGAAGCATCCAGGAGCGAACGTAAATCAGCAATCGTGGGTGAGGTCCGGTGATGGGGTGGAAACAAACGTGACCTCGAATCTGATTTTTCTTTGAAGAGAGGATGGCTCCAATGCTTTAAAGGCTTTACAGTATGCTTCTCCTTTTGTAAATCGTAGAGGCCTTCAGTGAACCACACCAGCACGACAAGCCACATGAAATCCTCAGGACGGACTAATCATGGAAGACGGGTACACATAGAAAAACAAACAAAGCCTGACAACTCATTTAAGACTTCTTGAATCAATGCCACTTCGGGCCTAGGCACTTTGGGAGCACCCAGTGCACGCAAAGCCCACAGGATGCCATCTAGATCCCTGTGCATGGCAAATCTAGGGGGCACTATTGTCGGCAAGGACCTTGTTTCCTGAGCCCGCACCTGTGGAGGGAACATGAGGGAACCATCATGCCGGTCAGTCATGGTGCTGAAGCATAACACAATGCACTCTGTCCCCCAAGCCAGCCAGGAGCACGACGAGTCTTGCCAATTCTTTGGCGTACGCGGCGTGTCCGGGAGGTCGGTGTGAAGCGGGGCATACGACATGAGACCTTGGCCGCGAGCGGTTTGACTCCACAGCCGAGGGGGGTTGAGGTCAGGGAAGTCAGGGACACGTGGTCCGAACAAATGATTGAAACCTTTTCTAAAACCCCCAAATTTGAGACTCAGCTATGTGCAAGTCCAACTGTGCTCAATTCCTTTTCCAACCAGTGGCTGCGAGTCGATTTCGTGCAGGCTTCAGCACTGCGATCTACGGTGGAGGCTGGGAAAGTTGTCCGTCGTCTCCCACCTTCATCCCCTTTTCTCCAGGAAAACATGAGAGAAGCATAGAGAAACAATATTACAATGACTTCTGGTACATATTGAGATTTTTCTCAGAAGGTTTGGGAAAAGGCCAACACCAAACTTCAACAGATTCCAAATGAAGCCGGCATCAGCCATCAAAGTATGCACAGTGTTTGCACTGTGATGGACAATACCCCGTACAATCCCTAGCTCCGGCAAAAACTTAGCAAGTTTGATCTAAGTCGAACTCAAGCGGTTCAAAGCCTCAAAGCCATGTGCTTTGTAAAACAGCACTCGCGCTTGGATCATCTCTTCATTATCAGGCAAATGAGGCTGCTTCTTGTCCAGATAGGAAGCCTGATGTGAACAGCAATTACAACAGATCAGAATAATCGTTTCTGTTAATTGAACATAATTGAACATAGTTGAAACACCATGCACTGAACAGGTTGTTTCTTTCTACTAAGGGGCAAAAAGCCGTGCACAGGACACCGCCGCGACGAGCTTCATTTGTTTGGACACCTTGACTGGGGACTTCAAGAAGCAAAAGTAAGCCACATCTTTCTCGAACTTCAGGTACTTGACACCACAAGCATAGCGAGACCAATAAATGTTGAGCCTGCTGGCGACCGTCCTGGCCGGCTCCAGCGCGGACTTCACCTGATCCTTGATGTCCAGCTCGAAGTCCACAGAGTTGACAAAGTCCACAATCTTCTGCACCCTGGCCTCATTCAAAGGCTTGTCAGACTCTTGAGGCGTCTCGGCCTTCGCTTTCTTCGCAGTGCTTCCTGATGCTGCAGCTGATGTGGATCGTTTTGGCGCTTTCTTCGGCGGCTCTTCATGATCCCCAAGCTCCGCTGAAGGTGCTGGCATAGTCTTCTGTTTCTTTGAGCTCTCAGCTTTTGTTTTGGCCTTCGCTGCAGCCTTGGTCTTGGCTGCAGGCTTGGCCTTCGCCTTTGGAGCCTGTGTAGGAGGCTTTCTCGTCTTATCATCCTCCTGATCATCCCCCTGCTCTGGCTCAAGGATTTCTCCATCTTCTTCCTCATCATTCTTGTCATTCTCTTCCGCCTCCTGTGCTTTGCGTCCCCGTCCCCGACCGCGCCCCTTACCACGGCCACGTCCACGTGTCTCGCCCTTCATGGCCAGCTGGTCTCGCCGTGTAACAACCTGCACCGGGCCAAATCTCATATATCATATTTGCGAGGATTGTTTTTACAATTAAAAAGATACTAGTTTGACGAAACATGCATTTACGGACTTTGGGCGCCAAACCACCCAAACGCCGTAAATGCACTTTGCAAGCACTGTGAAACTGTAATAGGGTATGCATGGCTCGATTTATGAATTTGGCAGGCCTTCATTTTGGATGGTGGTTCTTCAGAAGCTTCACGTGCTGGCGCAGGCTCTTTGGGAGAAGGATCAACCGGTGAGGCCGAAGGGAGAGTAAGCGGAGCAGGGCTGCTCTCAGCAGGAGTCACTGTAGAGGGTGTAAGTGTAGCATCACCAAGCGGCTTGTTCTGAAATTTGGCACGCCTTACCTCCGCTTTCTCATCAAATGACATCGGCTTAATAGGAGTCGGACCAGGAGTTGGGAGTTCCATGACATCCTGCACCTGAGTCTCCACGTTGTCCATAAGGCCTGGGGCATAGAGATAAGGAACCAGTGAGCAGATGCCAATCCACAACACATTTAACACATGTTTTTTTGTTTTATGGTTGGCTGCCTTCCACTGCTTTGAACTCAGCAGCCAAATTGCGGTTGGCAGGCTTCTCAAGAGCGACAACCTCCATCCTTCGCTGCTGGATCCTGGGCGTGAGGCTTGGCAGTTTGGTTTGAGGTCAAAAGCGATCCCGCCCACAAAGAAGAACGATGAAGAAAGTAACAGTAAGATACTGGCAATAATTATTGCCTATGGGTGTTTCTATCCAAGGTTCTCTAGAAGACGTGCCTGCTTTTGCTTCAGCTCTTGCATCAGGGTGTACTCAGAAAACTTCTCAGGTGGGCATAAGCCTCGTCATGACAAACAAAAACCTAGATCATCTCAGTACATACTCGTAAGCTCAAAAACATGCTCTAGAGCCCCAACAACCTTCAGCAGTCAGGAAACTCTCACGCGTAGAAGAAGTAGCTTCAGCAATGGAAGAAGCAACAGTTACACCCTTCTCAGGTGGGGCTGCTGCCTTCTCTGGTTCCAAGGCGACAGGAGCTGGGGCGGGAGGAAGCGGGACAGAAGCATGTGGCATGTCCCCACTTTTGGGCTCCATGGACTCTGGCTTGGACTCTTTCGGGTTTTCAACAAGACCACTACTGGCTGGGGTCGTCTCAGGAAGGGAGGCTGACTCCTTCGCGGCTGACTCCTTCGGCTCACGAGACAGGTCCACACAATCCTCTTCCTCCTCATCATCATCGGTTTCCTCAACCGCACTCTCGATAAAACAAACAACACCTTTCACAGCACGAAGCAGCATGTCCTGGGCATCGGATTCCATGGACTCTTTCTTCAACCGGTTATTCACGGCAGTCACCACTTCCTGATAAACAAGTTTGGTCTTGTTTAGGGGTAACCTTCGCTGTAAATATTGCATGGTGCTTAATCATTTGAAGTCCTCCAATTCCGGCTTGAAGATGACAACCAGCTCTTGAAATTCAGGAACCTGAAATCAACGTGGTTTGAAGGGTCAGGGTTAGTATGTGAGAAGGACCGGAAAAAAGCTTGAGACCAAGAAACCTGGCTGACTTCAGACCTCCCAGCCTTTCGCTTGATCAAGCGGAGCATTTTCCTCACCTCCCATGCCATATCATCGATCTCCTCGTCATGGATTTGACGGCTGCTCTTCTTGTAGACGTCCAAGACAGTGTCACGCAAGCTCTGGATGTCAGGAAGCTTTCCACGCGAGGCGAAGAGCCGCATGCATGCAGGAGTAAGAAGGTCACTGTTCGCTGCACACTCAGCCACAGAAGAATCCGGCAATTGCTTTGAGCCCACTTTGACACACAAGGGCTTGGTTTCCCTCAGCCTCAACCTAACGCTCTCCGTTTGGTCCCAATCATCAGCCAGCCTCTCACAATCAAATGTGGTAGACATGGCTGGTAAGAAAAGCGATGTTGAAACGTGAAACTCTGAGCCAAATGTGCTTAGCAAAAGATGATAGGTGGAAGCCATGTAACTTGTCAGCCCTTGCTCTGATGCAGGAGTCCAGCTGAGACGCTGGCAAAATTGGGCGGCCACAGGTTGGCGGAAAATTGACAAGCTGAGCCAATGAGAAGAAAAGAGACGGATGGCAGCAAAGCAGGGATGCTGAAGTAAGGACATGATAGGAGAACCCGGTTCTTGTGCACTCGACCCGACTTTCGAAAGATGTTTGTCAAGAACCCGAGTGTCGACTGTCGACCTGACTTTTTCCAGGATCTAGGCTTAGAGGGTATATATATAAGTATGTCCTAAGTATGTCCTTCGGTGGGGTTCCTGGGCTGAGATCGGTGCACGTACCATTGGCACTCCTGCACTCCTGCCACGGAAGAGATCGATTCTGGTGGGGGTAGAGATGTATGCAATGACCATCCCAGTTGGAATAGCTTTGGTGAAACCATGTAGGCTCTTGATTAGTAAAACCTCCCATTTGAATGAAACAACCTCTTTATATTAGACTCCTGATCAATCAAGAGTCTACATTAGCTTGTGGAAGCTTTTCCGGCGACCCTCCTAGTGGTCGAAACAAACCAAGCATTTCTTGGTTCGGGTCACCGTCCAGCGAAGCTCGTGCGGCGCCAGCCGCAGGCCGGTGGAGGCCTGAGAGCCAAACGGCTGATCCGGAGTATCCGGAGGTGAGATGTTCTGCTGGGCGTGGCCAGGAAAGAGGCTGATGATGCAATGATGGCAGAAGCAGAGCATGAAGGAGACGAGGGGGATTTTTCAAGAATCTGAATGTAGCAGGATTGACTCTTTGGATTCAACGCTTGCAGCCCGAAGGCATTTCTGGGGACACCATGGAAGCGATAAGTTGCCCCAAAAGATGATCGCGATTTATTTATAGATATTTATCACGAAAGGTAGCTTGAGCTACCTGAGTTCTCCTTGCTTTAGCAAAAATGTATTACAATCAGGAGTTGGGATTGTGCATTGAGTTTGGTCCTGTAGAGTTGATTCTGTTCGTCGGGGGGGGGGGGCCCCCCCCCCGGATCAAATCCCCCCTGCGCCGGTTCACGCCGTCCTGGACTTCTACCAGGGTTGCTTGTGATTGCCTGCTACCTTTCGTTCACCCCCTCCTCTCTCAAGTAGACTGATAGTACTGATGAGAAGACGCTAATTAATATGCATTGGTTTGCATTTTCATCAGTCTATCAGCCTGTATTATATGTTTTATCAGTCAAAATGTTTATTAATCACAAATCAGTCATGACGCACATTTATGTTGCATAATTGTTTTGGACGGCGGCCCATTTGGCCGTATGAGCGCGCGTTCTAGCGCGTCTCTCCTCCCAGGGGATGTGCGATTTCAATGTTTGACCTCAGCCCTTTTCGATATCCGCCCAGTCATGTGGGGAGATACCAAGAGCATTCTTCACATGGTTTCCGTACGCAAAGCGTTTTCCCAAGACAATCATGAGGCCTGGCTCGGCCAGGAGCTTTGCCCCCCCCCACCCCCCACCAACCATGGTGATATCATTGGCATGAACATGAAGCACCTTCCACGTAGCATGAAATCATATCACCCACAAGTCAGAGGTAAGATGAATGAGACACATGTGTCACAAAACAACATAAATACATATAAATACCGCAAAAAAAACCATAAAAAACCACGACCTTTGTGAACAATGTCTTCAAGGCCCCACAAATACCATCAAAAAAGTGAGCGTGGAGAAAACCCTGTCGACACCAGCAAAAACCGGTCAAGCAACTCTGTTTCCTTCGGGAAAAACACCGTTCCGAGAAGCGACCTGAAGAGTGTGCAATGCTGCAACACCCACGCTGTTTCTCCCGTTTCATTTGAAAACCGTTCACCGGTCGGAGACGCAATCAGCCGGTGGCCAAGCCCTGCAGAGTCGAAAGCGCTGTTTCACCTGGTTCTTTTGCGTCGACACACCGGTGCGTTGGATCGACTGGTGCTGGTGGAGCCATGAGTTCGTTGCCACACCAGCGGGGTGATTGAAGCGAAGTGCTTGTTGTGTGATCCAACAAAATGGTGTGAGCAATTCAAAAACCGAAGCCATGAATGGAGAATCGATGTGTAGTTCGGTGTGTATGTGATAGTGTGCAATTTACAAATGCCAAAACGCTTGGAGAAGGTCTTTGGAAGAGAGATCCATTTTCTAAATGTTCCACCTCGATGCTTTTACCTCTCGTGGAATCGGATCATGGTGCTGCTTCGACAGCACTGGGCGAATAGGATCGATTAGAAGGGCAGCGCCGCCCAGAAGGTTGGCAAGACTGTTTGACTGGAGCTGCATTCAGGAAAATTGATATCAACATAATATAATCTAACTTTACGTTGTATTCAGGAATATGTCAATTTGACTACTAATAATAAACTATGAATAAGATACCACGAACGGGACGGCCCAATCTTGTATTATTTTGATAAGAACACAGCTTTTTTTGCTGTAGAGTCTAGAATATTTCTGAAATGGGGCATTGATGATAAGAAATATGCGACCAACACCAGACAATAGATTAGGATAGATTAGAAGTTCTCAATCTTGGGTTTTCCACTTCTGCAGATACACACACACACACTACATTCACACTACCGGTGTCGGGTTGTGAAGCTGGGTTGGTCTTGCTCGTTTTTGGTAGGTTCTTGTCAGCCTTGAGCAAAAATTGAGCTATATATATAGTCTTTGTAGTTTGTTCCTCTTCAATCTAGATTTGTTCGACAGGGGGTGGCAGGAAACTGGTTTTCAAATGATAGGCCTAAGCCTGGTCTGAAAGAGAAACTGGTGGGTTGCTCCTACTGGTAACGTCCCCACAGGCACCTTTCATATCTCATGATTACGGGGGGGTTTTACCCCGCACAACCCCAGCACAGCAGCTAAATCTTTGGTCGCACCCAGCTCCTTACCAGAGGTCTCGCGCTTTCCCCCGCAAAAGGGTCTAAGCCCACTAAGCAAGACTAATGATGGAAACCAGGCCTTCCAATTTTTCTCGGCATTTTTCGATCGTTTTGGATATGTGTTTTTGGGGCTTTCACTCGCTCGAACTCTTGCCGTCTCCTATAGTCATTGCAAGAAGAAGAGAAGAGCAAGAGAAAAGAAAAAACAAAAAACACAGGATGCTCATAATGCATGGCCACTCGGGCAGCTTGGCTTGCACGACGGGCCCTTGAAAACGATTCAAATCCAAGCAAACTCTAAATGCATATGATCACACAAGAAGCTACTATGAACAAAGGGCATCGCTACTAGGAACAAGGACGCTACTAGGGGCTCCTGGCCTTACTACTAGTAACAAGAAGCTAGTCGGAAGGCCAGAAAACACCACTGCGGCTCGGGGCGTCGATCGTTTAACCTTCGGTCAACGAAGGGGCCTCCGGCGAGGCCACGTGCCCGGACTTAAAGGCTTATGCCTGACAGCCGGCACCGGCCGGTTTGAGGAAGAGGAGCCGGAAGGAGAAAAAAAGAGAAAAAGTAAGAGAAGGAGAAAAAAGCGAGAGGAAGATAACAGGAAGGGGAATAGGAAGGAGAAAAAAGAGGCAGAGGAAGAGCAAAAGAAAGAGAAAAGAGAGCCCGAGTTGCCTTGCACTTATCGGCATTTTGTGTGTATGGCTTTGCTCTTCCTCTTGCTCCTCTAGAGAAAGGGAAAGGGGACAAAAAAGAGAAATGGACAGAGAAAGATAGAAAGGAAGATAAAGATGAAGAGGAAAAGCAAGAGGAGCTAAAAGACGAAGAGCGGAAGAGAAAGAGGAAGAGAAGAGGAAGAGAAAGAGAGAGAGAGCGAGAGGAAGAGAAAAAGGAAGAGCAAGACGAAGAGGAAGAGCAAGAGAAAGAGAAAAACATATATAGAACGAGAAAGATAAAAACATATATAGAAAGAGAAAGAGAAGAGAAAGCGGAAGAGGAAGAAACAAGCAAAGAGTTATAACAAAATAAAGAGGAAACGTAAGAGAAAGAGAAAATCAAGAAAAAAAGGAGGAAATAAATAGGAAAAGAAGAAGAGGAAGAGATTAAAAAAAAACAAACGGAAGAGGTAGAGGAAGAGAAAGAGAAACAATTAGAAGAAAGGGAATAGGAAAAGAAAAGGATTAGATAGAAGAGAAAGGAAAGAGAACCAATAGTAACATGATCGAGGAATTGGGGCCCCAATTCGTTCTCTGTATCGGCCAGTGCCTGGCTGTTAGACATAAGCTTTTAAATCCAAACAAGCCACGGAATCGTGGATCGAGGCGCGGATTAAGCCCTATCGGCATAGAATTAAGAATAAAATTGTTTTTTTTTTTTTTTCAAAATATGGATATAAATTTATATAAATCAATTTATATATATATATTGTTATTGATTGATAGAAATTAGATATTAAAAGATAATATATTATATAAAAATTCTTATTTGAAATAGATTAAAATATTTATAAAATATATTGATTGGAATTTTATGGCATGGAATATTTAGTTAAAATTATTATTGTTTTATTAATATATATATATTATTTTATTAAAATTATATTAATTATATATTTTTTGGTAATATCGAATTGATTGATAATATATTTATTGATATTTATGAATAATAAATTGAATTATAAATTAATATGGTATTTTATATTTATTTATTTTTTTAAATAATTGTAATATATTAAATTTTATATAAATATTGAATTTAATAAAACAATATATATTTTTTTTTTGCATTTAATGTCTTTAAATATTTTATTATTATGGGGGTGTATGGAATTAATATATTTAAATATGTTTGATGGATAATTATGGATTTTGTAGACGAATTAATATAAATTAAAATATATATAATATAATTTTTTATTTAATTCATCATATATATATAATGGTCTATTTTTATTAATCGGGAAATTAATATAATATTATAAAATATACGAAATAATTATAGGAATAATTCTTCAATTGGTTATAATGATCGATAAAATCGGTCAATGGCCCAATTAATATGGGTGCTATATTTATATCTATTTAATTATATTATATCTGATTAAAAATATTTAATTCTTCAGAATTTAATTTATAATTATTTAATTCTTTAGAATTTAATTTATAATTATTCGGGATTAATATTCTTATGATCGAATATCCTAATATTTGCCTTTAGATTGCACGTTTCCTTGAATGAGATTTTGGTTGATTTCCGTAGAATGATTTTTTTTGCCTATTTTTGGCCGCCCTTCTGGCCTTAAGGTATTTTGGATCCAATACCGTATTATTAATTTGATGTTGCACCTTGGATTACTACCAAAGATGCATTCTGACGAATAATAATATCTGGATATCAGATGATGATCGGCTACCTTGCCGCAACAACATCCAAATAATATTATGTGAAGAATAAATAATACCTTCATAAAGCAGAGAATTGCCTTGATTGAATAGATTTTGGGTCAAAATTATCGCCACCTCTAAAGGAATATTAATTTTCGCCTAAACTCGGCCGTTCTTTTTGAAATAATTTTCCGTCATAAGCCCAAAACAAAAATATAATATTTTTCGTTCAAATTATTGAATGCTTTATGAAGGTATTATTTATTCTTTACATAATATTATTTATCTTCGTCTAATTATAAAATTTGTTCTTCTAAATAATTTATTCAGTTCTCGAAATTCAATTGCATACGAAGAATCTAATGTAAATCTTTAAAATAAAAAGATTCGGGACGCGATGTTTACAAGGACCTCTAGTGTTCAGAATATATAAAAAAAATAGAATTCATAATTATATCGAATCTTTTAATTTTGATTATTATTATATATTGAATTTATTTCCATCCAATATCAATTCATCTAAGGATTAATATTTCGGAACTTCGAACATCATTAAAATATATAATATCATTTATATAAAAAATTTAAAAATTATCAATAAATCGAATTCTTTTATTTCCATTCATTACGATCAACCAATCATTAATTAATTAATTCGTTAATCCGTAATACGCGGACTCCCACTTAATAACATAGAAAATTTATTAATACCCTTAATCTTCTTTACAATATAAAAGTAATCTCCGAGAAATTAATTGGATCAAAATAATTTTATATATATCAATATCAATATTCCTAATCATAATAATTATAAACAATATATTTTAATACGATAAAAATAAATATCCTCCGAATTTCGGGTCCAAACATTCATTATTTCCAATATTTCGATTCATCGAAAAAACGATATACCATCAAATGCCTTTTCTTATTCCAATAATACCAATAAAATCCAAAACCTACGAATTTGTCGTATTTAATGGAAAATATCGTGTTTAGGCTCCACTTTACTAAAAACATTGTATTTCTGTCGAAAACCTCATTTTTCCAAAAGCACTAAGTTTCGAACCCATATAAAAACCGTAAGCAATCGTATCGTTTTGAGAAAATCAAAAAACCTCGTGTTTTCATTAAAAATCTCGTGTATTTTCAAGAATTCTTAGTTCTCTAGGTATCAAAATAAATATATCATATATTAATTAATATTTCAAAATCATCATATTCTATATTTTTTTTTATTAAAGCATTTTTTAAATGGTAAACATATATAATTTATATATTTAAACCCCTAAAATTCCTCATTTACAAGAAATAAATTTCTTAATTAAATATTTCTTAAATATTCATTTAAATATAATCTAACAAACAACAAATACAACATATAAATCCATCAATTTAATTTATTTTTCTAAACATTCTTAATTTCATTTCAAAATTACCCTTTCCAATTTCTTTTTCGGAATCTAAATTTACTATATTATTTTATCGAAAAAATATCGTCTCCAATTTATTCAAAAAGAACGATCGTTCTATTCCATAATTGTTTTAAAAAATTAATCGTTACGATAATATTAATAGTTTTCTTTTTATTAAATATATTAAAATATTTTCTTTAATATCGTTTTCATATCGAAATTCATATTTCCACGATAAAAACCTAATATTATATTAATACCAATATCCGTTTTTCCTCGATCTATAAAATCAATTCGTAAAGCCCTATAAATCCAATTATTATTCGTATATAGGATATATTGCCTTCACCAACTAGACCTTATAAAAATAACTCTATTCTTTTTTATAATCCATATTAATAATTTACCCATTAAAATTCCTCATTACTTCAATTTCATTCTTTATAATGGCGAACATATCCTCATAAATTAATGGCAAACCACGTGGGAAAGTGCAAATTGCAGTGGACATGAAAGGACAAAATTGAAATCATATATACCCGTATCTTTTAGGTTTAGGTTCAAAAAAGCATGGCTTAACAGTTAACGGAAAGGAAAACTCACTGAACCCACCACGCCCCGTTTTCTCGAAAGGAAAAGTGAGCTGCCTTCTCAGCAATGGTCGTGACTTGACGTCGAGGAGAATGAGCCCCTCTGCGGGATCCTGCTCGTACCTTGCAGCTTCACCGATCTCTCTCGGTTTGGGTGTGGAGACGAGGCCTCGGTCTCTCGCCCCGGGTCCACTGGGACAAGATCTCCAAAGTGGCCTTCATTCATCTCGCGCTTCATCTTGCTCTTGTTCCAGGGCTTCTTCCCCCCCTCCACGGGCGGGAGGGATTTCGGGACAACGGTGGTCTGTGTGACAGCCATGCACGATGGCATGGTCCTGCATCACATAGCAGGCAACTCATGGCAGCTTTAACTTCCACCTGCTTGGAGCAGGTGATACATGTGACATACTGCATGAGCCCAACATTCCGTGCGCTCCCTGGCGCTGCTCGTGGAGGGTTGCCGGATCCTGTGGGCTGCGTCTGCAGCCCTGGCCACCTGGCCCCGGCCTCGTGTCTGGGAAGGTCGGGCGTGAGCCGCTTCATGAACACGGCTGCAGGGATACATCACAAAATACACGACTGCGACACCGGCGAATGCACAAAACAAACGGCAAGTGCTGCACTGACTGTCTCTTGCATGTCACTCAAAGCGCTCTGAAAGCAACGGACACGACATGTGCCAGCAATGCATGACTGTCTCTCTTGCAGGCATCTCCCTGGCGCACTGGTGCTGCCCAACTCGGCAGTGCAGCAGCCTCGCACACGGGCGACATTTCAAATGCTGATCTCATGATACGGGCGACGAGTCTCTGCCGATCCCCCCCCCTTCCTCCTGGTCCACCTCCCTCGGTTGGCCCCTTCAAGATGCCGCAATGTGAGAACAACCGCTCCCCCTCATTGCTTTTCTTCTCGTGCCACAGCTCAGGCGCTTGCTCCACCCTCGGCAGGTGAGATAGTTCTACGGGCATCTGGCCCCGGGAAAGGGCATCAGCCCATTCGTTCTGTTCGCTCCACAGGTGCAACGCTTCCAACGAAGTGAAGTGGACAGCAAGATGAAGTGCTGCCTCTTTTGTCACCTCGTTCAACAAAGGCGACTTTGCCGCCCTCTTCGCCAACGCTGCCAAGACTTCTTGCGCATCTCCTCGGATTCGGATGAAGCCCTGATCTTCACGCTTCACCCAAGTCGAAAGGCATCGCAGCATCATGTATGCCTCCCATAAGGCCTGTGAGCCCGGGTCTCCTGTGACTGCGCCCGTCCTTTTTTCGTCTGCAGCTGTCCAGGTGAGTGTGAACACTTCTGTAGGTTGGCCTGACCTAAGTCTCACTGCTCCTCCTCCCCAAGGCGACGCATCGACCAGGAAGTCCAGCCTGCAGTGGTGCCGGCTGTGGGCGTAGACTGTGCGCTCCAGACCTTCATTTTGTGATAAACCTGCTCCTGTCCTCGCAACTTCCCAGGCTGGGATGCCATAGCGGCATACAGCATCCGGACGAAGGGTTGAGTTGCGATGAATCCTGCAGCCCAAGACATCTTGCCAGTGAACTGTTGCAACGGTTTTCGTCCCACCACTGGTCTCGTGTCCAATCGTTCCAGGAGCACTCTCCACTCCTCGAGCTTCGATGCAGCCACCATGACCCTCACGAAGCCTTCGCGGTCATTGACCACTAGTTTGGCGCCTATCCACTCTGCTTCTGGCCCAAGGGCTCCCTTTGACCAGGCCACCTTCAGGCCCAGAGTGAGCCACCATAGCAAAACAACATTGTAGATACTGTTCAACTGTCCATCAGTAGCTCTTGCAACAATCAAGGGGTCTTCAACAAAATCTGTAACCGACAACGGCTTGAATGAAACAATGCTTGTGTTGATCTTGCAATCAATGCTGCCATCCTCCCCCAAACTAATGGGCCTGTCTTGATGCCAAACAACACAGTCCGGTAGACGAAATAGCCACCCAACGCTCTGCCAGAAAGGTACCTGTATTCGTTCTCCCTGACAGTCAAGTGAGTCAAGTGTTTGAACGCGTCAGAAAAATCAAAACTCATGAACATCACTCTTTCGTTGGGCGCCCTCGTCTCCAGGAGGTGTAGTGCGTCCTCCATGGCATCCTTCAGCCTCTGGCAGCACCAATCTCTCCTTCAGCGATAGGTGACTGTTCACCTGACTGCGTCTCAGGTCTGCACCAATCGCCCTTTAACTGTTCCGTCCAGCCGGGTCTTGGCGATGTAACCAATGGCTGAAGGCACCAGCGAGCCATATCTTGACTCTAAAATACTCTAAGTCTGTTTTGTCCTTGGCCCAATGCACGAAGCCCTTGTCGACTTCCTTCTGGAACAAGGCGTCCGCAGCTTCTCGCTCCTCCTCATACAACTTGTGGTTGTTTAGGGCCCCTTCGAGCTCTGCCAAAGAATCCAGCTTGTCTCCCTCCTGCCAGGTGGTTTCATCGTCCACCTTTGGAAAGACCCCGCCTTCTGGGATCTCATTGGCTATCCCCACGGGTGTTCCCCTCCTTGGCCAGCTGGCAGCCTCACTGTCTGGGTCGCCACTCATGAGCACTGCTTCTCCAGCAATGATCCCCAGAGCCCATGCTCATAGGCCTCACAGCCAAAGACACTGCTCACCTTCTTCCTCAACCAGCTCATCTCCTGATCCGGCTGCCCTTCATGATCACTCCCAACCCAAGCCACGGGGTTGTTGAGCTCTCCAAGTTGTCCCGAGCTCGCTTGTAACAATCTCCATACAACGCTTCCAACCTTCCTCCACTTGGGCAGTTCTTGCGTCGAGTGCCACGGATTGCGAAGGCCTCCAATACACATCTCATTCTCTCGTTCAATCTGGGTTTTCTTCGAAAAGAGATCCTTAACTTTGGCATCCTCTTCGAACCACAACTTCCAACTGTCTGGCCTCTGCTTTGCTGTCTCGAGCTCTCGGGCATATGCCCTAGCCAACTCAATGCAAAGTTTTTGGGGGTACTCGGCCGCGAGTGACGTCTTGAATCACCTTATTGCCATGGTAGTCCAGCGTGACGGCTCATGGCGATGGAGTGGCCGGCCAGGACATCTCTTTTCGACGATCTCCATGAAGTTGGCGTTACTAAGCCATCCAGTGGGTTTGACAAACTCTCCCATATGGGCACACTGGTCCCCTTTGAAGAGTCGCACCCCCTCCAGCTGTAGCAAGCGCTTCACTGGCCCATGCAACCATTCTCTGGGTTTTCAAGCGAGAACCAACCGCCCACATTGTAAGCGGGAAAGTTGGGCTGCTCTTGAAGCCAGGACATTGGCCTCTTTGACCCGCCAGGTCTTGGGCTCTATCCCATCCGGGCATTGCACAGATCGGAGTTGTCTGGCCTTGGCATACTTGTCCCTTCTCCTTGCTCGGGAGAATGTTTTGGATGGGGGAGCTGCGTGTAGCCATCTAACTTTCCTCAACTTGATTGCATTGCACAAAAGGACTGTACCCACTGCAATACGGCCCCAACCCGGATCTCGCCTGGTATTCTGCCTCCTGACAGCTTGTGTGAGCCCAGCCTCTCCGGCGAAAAGTTCCATAAAACAACGATCTTGCACAGTTTCACCCTCAAACTCCTCTGGAGGTGAAGTTCTCGCACGCTTGTTTGCAACAAATTCTGTTTTGCTTGCCCTCTGTTTCAGCCGCTCCCGCAGCAAAGTCAACCTCCTTTCGATGTCGTCCTCAGCTGCGCTCGGAGCCACTGACGGGCTCGGTAGTCACATGTGCTTCTGCCTTTTGGAGGGGTTTCCCCCTCCCCGGCCCTTGCCCTTTCCTTTGCTCTTATCTTTCTTCTCTGGGGTCCATCCAGGGCTATGTGGACTGTCTATCGTCTTGTGAGGCGCCCTGCACCACTCGCAAATGTGAGCGAACCCCTTGTCGCAACGATCATTGGAGCATCCGTCTGCCGCCCAGGCGTAGCAAATGTTGATTCCAGCCTTGCTCCTGAAGTACTGGCCGTCCTTCCGTTGTGGATCAAAGGCTCCACCGACTTTCTTCTTTGGCTGGGGCTTCATTGGACCCTTGAGGTCTGGCCGGCACTGATTTCGATCAGTTCATCACATAGAGCATTGCCGGTTTCTCGAACTCTCTTGACCAAAATTCGGAGTGTGATGCGCTTGCCCGGATCACGGAGTTCCATGGCTGACCTGGGATGAATGCAAACAAGGCTGGATGAGTGGAGTGGAAGGCCTCTTGCTTCCTCTTCTCCTGGGACCAAAACTCAGTCCTGCATCTGATGTCCGCCTGTGCTTCAACGTGACGCCAGGATGTTGCAACACCCGTGTCCTGAACTCCGAGGCGTACCTGTCCAACGTGGCAGCTGTGGCCAACTGTAGCATGAGTGCCCCCGTGCGAAAGATCCTCCACGACTCCTCCCATGCATCCAAGTTGGCTGCTCCGGGCAATTCAACTGCCTTCCACTGCCCGTCCCGCCACTGCTGTGAGACGAATCGCATGGCATGGGCTATCCTGTCCGTGTGGTCCCCCACACTCCCATATCCACAAAGGGAGGTTGGCCAGACTGCAGCTTGTGGTATAGGCAGCTCAATTGACCATCTGTCACCTCCTCCTTCTCGAGTGGGTTGTCTCCCTCTGTCACAACAAATTGTGCCCTCAATGATCTGACTCATCTTTAGCTTGAGCTTCGTCCCACTTGAACCTGCAGCCACTCCTCCGCTGACAGGTGTCTTCGGTGCGTGGGAAGAAGCTGCTGCAAACAACGAGGGTGCCCCATACTTGACTCGAATTGCGCTCAGCACCAACCACCACTGGGCTTTCTCCGTCAAAGAGTCTGCGTCCTCCCCTGTTGGCATCTCCTAAAGCAGCCTCAAAGACATCTGTCGGGATCACTCCTAACACGGGTAGTGACTCTAACTCGGCGTCGCCAAGCTGTCGGGTCACGGCCCTCACTAGTCCAGCCTCAAGCCCTCCCCAGGTTGCCGCATCGACCAAACCCACCCAAGTGTCCAGGGTGGACCAGTCCTGCAGCAGTCCATCCACTGCGCCAAACGCCCCAACCAACACCCCACCTAACTTCAACAGGAGGGTGAAGGGTCCCACTTGGCCTTGAGCCAAAATGGTACCCAAAGAAAACTTAAACTTCTCAACCCACCCTGACCACCCAAAAAGTGACTCGCCATTTCTTATATTTCTTGTTACTGCGGCCATACTGGCCTACACGACATATTCAGAAATAAAGCAACGTTCGTCGTTGCTGCCACATTTTGGTCTGGTAATATCCATGCCTCTGCGCACTTGCCCATTCCAGTTTTTGTTCACTGAGGCGGCAATACTGGTCTGTTCATCCAGCATGACCATTGGATCATTGGACAATGAAAAGAACACAAAGGATTATATAACTGCTCCCTGCTTGGGGTGTTGCCACGCAAAGCGAGTAATCCCCCCAAAAAGACATGTGTGGGAACAGCTGGCAGTCACATGTACTGCTGAACGTGGCTGCTGAACCAATGACTTATGCTAGGATGACTCCAAGAAAGCAAAAATCCCGCCACAGGGCTTTGACACAGGCACCTTTCAATGCGAGAAGGACCGCGTGGGAAAGTGCCAAGGCATTGGACGTGATAGGACAAAATTGGACATGTGTCAGGTGCTGTAAACTCAGATGCTGTCATGGTTGCACTTTAACTTTACCACAAGTCCATGCTCATCGTTCGTCAGGGTTGGTGTTTCGAACGCAACAGATTCTCGAATCTTGCCACCCGTCCCGCTCCGTTCGGGCACGTTGCCTGAAGATTCGGATTGTAAACCGTGGACGGTTGCCATGAGCTCATGTGATGTGCATGTGCCATACACACCAACAATGGCCTATGACATCCTATGACTATGACAACTTTGCGAAGTCAAACGTGAGTTGGTGGCTCATGGGCGAATGTGAAACTCTTGGTGTTCCACTTGAGAGCAGAACCGCGTCGAGGAATGGCCGTCCGATTTGGTGGTTTGGGCTTGACAATGGTTTGACTTGAGCGGTTGAGTAGAACATCCCTTGAGTAGGTCCCTTGAGCGGCCTTGGATGTCCGACAGGCCTACAAATGGAAAAACATGCGAGGAAAACGTGGAGTTCTTTCTTTCACTTCTTTGGACTTCGGTTCTTCCACTTCGCATCTTCGCTCATCGTCGAGGACCCGCCTTGGCTGAGTGTTTATGATGAAATCGCCTGAATCCAGTCCCAAATTTGTGATTCACACTGGCTGGTAGGACATATGACGTCCTGAAGGTTGGACAGACTTGATTCTTCCGTGCCCATGTGGCTGTCCCAAGGCAGAACCACATGATTGGCTGTTTCAACCAGCTGAATTCTCAAATCAAGAGACGCATCGAATTTGGTGAAACGAGCCGCAGAAAGTCTCCGCTCAATGCCTTGCTTGGCTGGGGGATGAAGATGGTGGCTTTGTGCACCAAAGAACATGGACACTTTGATTGTGCTGTCGTTGTTGGGATTGTTGGAAGCAACAAAGAGGACTCAACGTAAAACGGGCCATTTGTCAACGTGGAATCATTTGCAATTTGTCACGACATGTTTCTCTACATCTTCGGTTTGGTCAACATGTCGTAGATGTTTGTGTTGCAAAACATGGATTAGAATGGATTAGACAAACGCACTTTACAAGAACGCCTCTAACGTCATCAATCCAGATATAGCCTTGCATTGGCCTTGCGTGCAACCAGCCTTGTAGAGTGTCTTGACAATTTCACGTTGCCATGTGGTGCCCCTCCTTCCGGACGTTTTTTGGTCGCGCTGTGCCTCAGCTGGTGGGATGGTGAGTTGTTTTGCCATCATGTCACGTGCGCCCACCATTGAAAAATCGTAAGTGCACAATGTGTACACAAAACTCAAATGTGGCACCGCGACTCTTTCAAGGTTCGCGAGCGTAAACATCATTTCTTTCAGTCAGCTTCCGGCACATGTTCAGTGCGAGTTTCTTGGTGCGAAAGCCTGTCAGTTCACAAAGAAAACACGGAACCAAAGAACAACGAAGCTCTGAGGAACGGGTGTAGAGACCAAGTCGTGCAGGCTTGGCTCCAACTTTCAACGTCCAGAATCCGGCATATGAACCTGAGAATGCATTGTTCCAAAAATAATCAATCATCTTCAACCTTATAGCAACGGCCTCCAACACAATAGCGATGGCCTCCAACCTAATAGCGCTGTAATAGCGATGGCCTCCAACCGAATAACGATGGCCTCCAACCAAACAGCCATGGCCTCCAACCCAATAGCGATGGCCTCCAACCTAATAGCGATGGCCTCCAATTTAATAGCGATGGCCTCCAATTTAATAGCGATGGCCTCCAACCTAACAGCATTGGCCTCCAACCTAACAGTGATTTCCTGCAACCTAATAGCAATGGCCCTCAACCTAAATCATATGTTCACAAAAAGTGTTGAGAAACTTGTGGAACTGTACGGGAAGTTTTACGGGAAGTTTTGCTTCTTGTTGCACATGTCTTGCCGTGGAACAACTGCCCCAGGGCGTGCAAGGTTCATAGAAACCTTTCAGGTACATGATGGCATATCCCACGGTGAAAACATGCATACGTTCATGCAAACAAACCTAGCTAGTGAACTGCGGAACGCAATCAAATTTTACCGCACACACACACACACTTGAGAAAAAGCGCCAAGGAGCAAGATTCAGGGTGGATCTCCGTGTGCATTAACCCTGAATTTTACTGCAGATTAGACCCTGGCTGGTGAACTGAATGGCGGTAAGTTGACAAAAGCATGTATAGTTTAACAATTGTGAGCCACCCTGTGTTCCACTACGGAACAGTGTGTTTGAAACTAGGAAGGTGGAAAAAGCAGAGAAGAGAAACGCAACTTCCGAGCCGCCCATTCGGGGTGGCAAAGATATATCGAGAGCCACCGACCTGGCTTCGAACGCACAAAGGAAGTTATGAACTTGAAGTGTGGTTTAAGAACGCGTAACTTAGGTTATATATATATAAGTTGCTGAGTTCGGTCGTAAGTAGATGAGTGTATCATAAGTTATACTGGGTGTTTTTAAGACATAATTGCGCGGAACTTGTCTACATATGCAGCAGTTATCAGTTATAAGTAGATGAGTTCTAAAGAAGAAGGAACTTATCTTTACAGTCCTTATGAGCTGTCTACTTATTCTACTAGTGTTTATCCTATTTTTCAATCATGAACACTGTTGGCCCCTGGCTGCGGTTGTCTTCCTTCCAGTTGACCTCCTGGTCGTGCAGCAACGGACAGGAAGACAAGGCAGTATAGCTTCAAGAAGGGCTCTTGACATAGCATCATCCTCATCATCCTCATCCTCGTCATCATCATCATCATCATTTATCGAATTTATCGTCAACTCCTCATCGACCGGGACTTTGCATACCATGATCAATCGATGGGAGTGGTGCGGACCAACCCCTTCAGGCGTCGCCGCGTCCGGCGCTTTCGACCGATCTCTGGGACCCCCCGGCGCGGTCCCTTCGGATCGCTAGGGAGGACCGGTCGAACGCGGGCGCCACAAAGAACGTGGCGGCTCAGGTACGAAGAGTCCGGTGAGTTCTGCCATCTTTCAGGCGTTCACCACAAAGGAACGAACCATCGAACTGAGCATCCAAAGCCGCCAGTTCGATGGTTTGGGCACGAACATCGAACTGAGTCAACTCAGGCGGAGCGCCTTCGCTTCCTCTTTCACGTCCTTCAGCTCCGCCTTCGCCCGGCCGAGCTCCCCAACGACATCTTTGTCTCAACTTCTTCAAAATGAAGAGATCGTAAGGCCTCCGACCTACTAGCGATGGCCTCCAACCTACTAGCGATGGCCTCCACCCTAGCGGTCCTCGACCGTTATTTGAGAGGCTGTTGTTACTCGACCGTTATATCCTAACAACCGACGTTTTTCTTGGGTGTTCTTGGGTATGTTGGAAGACGTTGATTTGCTTCTTAAGCTTATGTGCCCAAAGTGGCACAAAACTGTGCTCAGTGTACCTTCCAAGAAAGCTTGCCATCATCCTATATCAATCCTGTGGGTGATAAGATCAAGACTAGTCATAAGGTATATTCCATGTCTCCGCATCTCATTCTGATCCATCCTGGATCCATCGTGTCCTCATGGGCGTCGAGATTGTGGAGCTCAAGATGATTTTTGGGTAGGGAACTCATTTATGTGCAATTCAATCCATGGATCAATGGAATTCCAATTAGACTTCCCACTGGTCTCGAGTTCCCCGTGAATCCCTGTAAGGTGTGGTGGCGATGTCGATGCGCAGAGCTCTGTTGAAGAGCGGGGTCCTTGGATCATTCCCCTTCTAGTTGAGGGTACCCTCATTGTGGTCCTTGGCCAAGGACTCCATGAGGACAACGAAGATGAGCGATTGGGAGGATATGATGTCAACTCAGGCTTGGTCCATGGTATGTTGACCTGTGTCCAGTTCTCCTCTTGACAAAATCGTTTTGGGACTCTACTATATAGCCCATAGAACTGATCCCAATTTTTTGTCAAGAGAATCTGGAGTTCTATTTTTGATATGCACTGAATTTGGTCTCCCCTTCTGCCTTCTGCCCGGCTCCAGTGCAGAGGGTGTGTGCGCTTTTTTTCGGCTTTCTTTGTGCTGGGATGGCTCAGTGCAGTGAACAGCGCGTGAACCTCCTGAAGGCAATTGATTTGGCAGGGCTTGGGATGGTTGAGGTTTGGGACATATGCATATTTTGTTCTGTCATGTTTACGTACGGCTAAATTGTTTGTACAATCTCCTGCATGCAGCCTTTCACAGGCATTCTACCAGGAATGGGTTGAAGATACGGACTTTGTGCGCCAGAGGCGCACACTCTTGAGGCAAAGGAAGAAACTCTCTGAGAAGGATCCAGTGGTATCTAGGCTGAACTTGGCAATTGGTGGTCACTGATCCTAGCTTCATCCCATATCATGGAGGCTGAGGATTTCATGGGTTGTTTCATCGTGTTAGGTCCCGAGCTTTACCTTCATTTTGCGGTGCTCCAAGAAGGAGGGGGTTCAGGAATCAGAGGCGCCTACTATAGCACGCATGGGCATGTGCATAAAACACGGCACGTTCCATCCCAACATCCCACTCAATTCCTGTCCTCCAGTTGGAGCATGAAGATAACTCGGCGTTTGTCATCAACTTCCTGGCTGGCTTTGCCCACTCTCTCCCAAACGAGTCCGAGATGAAGGCTGGCCACTGCAGGGTTGCACTTATCTGCATCATATCATGCGGAACCATGTATGTTGACGATGCCTCCTAATTTGCCAGCCCTTAAATAAGCCCTGCAGTGACACCTCAGGCAGCTCTTACGTGGGTATCGGAGCACTTCGCGCTCAACAAATTTGACAATCATGCAGCCCATGTTGTCACTTGGTTACAAGATACGTACTACATGTAGTACCGAGTGGAATTGGGTTTGGAACAATATGATGTCACAGCAGGTTTGGAATGCATGCAGTGAATTCCAAAAGTTTCCAAAAGCAATTCAATCGATCTGCATGTCCAGGCTTGGGCCTCTGTTGAGGCAGGCTTGCAGAAATCCTTTATGAGCTATGCGCTTCTTCGATTCCAGAAGAATCCCTCTGCCCGGCAAGAGTCTCAACTCACGAAACTTATTAATCAAACAGATCAAATAATTTTGTATGCGAATGAACTCAGAATTTAACACGCACGCCTTTTGAGGGGGAGATTTTGTGCATCAAATCAATATCAGGTCGACCAAAAGCAAGATGCACCAAATCAAGGAGGTCATCAGACAGAAGTTGGAGGCGTGGTGCATGGGCAAGCATTCAGTGGTTGATAGAGATGTGCGTGCACACTGTCACACGTGTTCCCCCACTGGCTGGTAGGCCGAGGGCATGCTCACAGCAGAAGGGAAGAAGCGTGCCACCAGGGGTCCCAGCGCGTCCAAATTAGAGGACCACATGCATGCATGCACGCATGCATGCGCATTCAAATGGAGCTCCAACAAAAAATATATATATTTCAAGTCGAACTTATGAGATCAAATGCTTCCCAGGACCCGGATCCTGGCAATGCTGAACATGGTGAAGATGTCCCAGAACATGCTCCAGGCAGAAGAATGGTGAATCCTGTGCCACCAGTCATGTCTCACGTGGTCACCTTCCTTTGTGAATCTTTCTGCTGATCAACCTTTTTTCATGAGTAGTAAATATGATTTCTCGGCAGGGGAGAATGATGTTCCTGTGGGCTTCTTGGACAACATAGAGACCTTGCCCATGGAGCTTGGATCCATAGAGGTGCCAATGGAGACGCCAGAAGAAGAGATCGAGGAGGTTGATGATGAGGTGGAGATCTCCGAGGCTCTTGATCAGGTCACCACTGTTGTTGCGACAGAGAAGCCGGATGTGGTGCCGGAGGATCCGGCCTTTTGGACCGACAGCCAGATCCCTGAGGAGATGTTTGCTGAGGAGCCTCTGCCGCCATTGGAGCCAGTTGGTGAGGAGGAGGTGCCTGAAAAGCAAGAAGGCTCGGTGCCGGTGGCTGAGGAGTCCAGTGAGCAAACACCAGATGAGGCTGGGTCAGATCCGACGACGACCACGGCAACTGGGCCAGAAAGTGAGAGGCGTGCCAAGGAAGAGCGTGCCAAGGAAGAGCCAGAGGACGTGGAGGTCGTAGAGTCAGATGAGGGTGAAGGTGAGCGTGAGGCAAAAGGAACCTTTAAGGAGGGGGCATGTGATGTATATGTTTCAAATCAATGTTCACACTTGATCATTGGCATTGACATTATCTCGATCGAACTACTATTGATCGACCTCACTCATCTGAATCTTGGCAGGACCGGAAACCTTTGCGTGAATCGGAGCCATCTCACAATGAGAAGATTGTGGACAAGTGTGTGGTGCTGATGAAGGAGCTCTTCAAAACTCGGGGTCTTCCATGTGAGGCAGCTGACCTGCTGGAGGCAAGCTGCTTCAAGAAACAAATGAACTGCATGCAAAGTTCTGGTCATGGTCTGCCTGCACGTTGAAACATGCTGAAACTGAAAACCATGCCAGGCCCAGAAGAAGATGCGTGCAGTTGCGAGGGAGATGGAGGGTGCAGATGCAGATCATGAGGACCCAGACAGGGCTGCGCGGGAAGAGGAGGACAGTGACGAGGCCAAAGCGGCCGGCAGAGGCCGAGGTAGAGGCAAAGGGCGTGGAAAGGGGCGTGGACGGGCTGCAAAAGCAAAAGCGCAGCCCAAGGCTACGACTTCCAGAGGGCGGCCCAGGAAAAGTCGAGGTGAAAAGGCTGAGGAGAACAATGATCCAGATGAGGCTGATCCAAAACTGTCGACTACCCCGCCAAAGCTTGCCCCAGAGAAGGTTCGCCAGATGAAAGCTTCACGTGAAAGGTGAAGCCCACGGAAGCGTACAGTGGAACCAGGGGCTGCTGAAAGCCTTCCGTCAAAGAGGACCAAAGCGGCCTTGGAGAAGGGAGAAAGGGCATCGACATCCAGAAATGGGAAGAAGCCGACCGCTCGCAGGCTGAATCAAGAATTTGAAGAATGTGCTGAGGAGGATGGGAAACCAGCCGCCAAAGCTGAGCCAAAGAAGCGGGCCAAGCGACGCCAAAAGCCAGAGCAGCCAGAGGTGAATGAGCCCAAGGAGGTGATCCCGTTGGAAGGAGACAATGCGTCTTTGGAAACTTAGCTGGATTAATGTACTATATTAGCTATGCTATACTACCTGATCATGAGTTCACTATTAAGTCTCTAGATGACTCTTGCTGTGGCTAAGGAGCAGGAAATGAAGCTCATCCAGGAGGTAGCTCTGCGTGATCCAGATTTCTTCAAACTGCCTGATGGTAAGGAGATTGAAGCCTATCTTCGCACTGATCGCCCAGATGGCAAGCTTAAGAAGCTACTAGCATGCATATACTGTTCTCTCCATTGGATGTGAATGATGGAACGATATATATACGTGAGAGATTGAGCATACATGTGTACATGTGCACATGCCTTCACATGCGCATGCACTATTTTATATCTATTCTCAGGTCCTTCACGCTGTACATGCCGAAAGAGTATCTGGACAAGTACTTCGATGGCTATGCAATTGCACCCATTGGGGTTCTGCAAGAAGCCTAGATATATTTACCCACATAACTGAAAGAACAGTTCGATCTTTGTGCTTCTTTTGAAGGTCACTCGAATAATCCGTTCCCGGCTTGGAACTCTAGCTATAGCCCTGGTCCAAGGCTGTATGCAAAATCATACTATGTGAGACCAGTCCACGCGAATCGCCTTGCTGCTGTGAACCAGGAGTGCAACACCACATGCAATGTAACCTGGTTTGATGGCATTGCAATAAAGCCCCAATAATGATCTGTGTTCTGTGATTGAATTGTAGCTCATGACCTGAGGTAAACAATGCTGAAGGGGTTTCATTGTCCTTTGCAAAGTATGGTGGAGCGCTCTCGGCGTCCAAGACTTATGATACATGACCACCACCTTTGCCTCTCCTAGCTGGACTGGACTAGACCAAACCATTTTTGGGCTTGCTCAGGTGGTATCTTGCCAAGAAGTTGGCTGGATGGATGCCGCCCAGCGCCTGACCGCCCAGGCTTTTGAGGAGCCCGGCACATGCGGGTAGAGGCCATGCCATTGATGTGACCTGTCAAGGCAGCTCCAAACTGGAAATTTGTTGGAATGTTTATTTACATAAAAATACTGTAGCTAGATCGTAGCTGGTGTGGTTCACCGTAT